AAAGCACTAGCAATGACATGATCTGTAGAGACGCAGTATGAGCATAAAATATAGGCAATATACAACCTACCAATTGCATTTCTATAAAAGTCACTACGGTCTAAAGAAGGGATTTAAAAGACAACACACTCATCATCCACACGTTCCTCTGGCAGACTGCTTCAAAGCACAGAGAGTCTCAGACTGCAGAAACCTGGACACTCTTAGTTTCAAGCCTGGCTAGAAGGATCATTAGAAGGGCAAACAAAGGCTATTGAGTTATAGCAATTAAAGTAAATGTTATATTTTCAAAATGATCACTAGAATAAGATATGGTGAAATAAAATAGCAAGAGGGCTAGGATCAAGCCTTGCGTAAAGCCAGAATTTAAAAAAGCACCTGGGGCCGAGGCAGAAACACCAGCAATCGTAACAAAAGGTTGTTTCAGATGTATTAGTTAAAGCAGTAGTAATTTTATTTATTTATTCAGCCTTTTGAGGGAAGTGGAACGATCTGAAAATACAAAACTGACCTTGCATAAAGTTGTTATGGTGTACAACTTGTTACTAAACACTGTAAGTCTTTACAGCTGCCTGCTGTGACAGGAAACAACGCAGATGAGGGCAGAGAGAGTTAACCAAAAATAGTTCAACCAAAATAATGTAAATAAACACGCTAAAAATGCGTGAGCTCTGGAGATGATGATAATTCTCTGTGGGTTCGTCACTACAATCAAACCCTCTCACATTACATATAGACATCATACCCATTGTTAATAAAGAATATTGATTAGTGCAGATTTAAAGAAATTGGTAGTACTAATATGTAGCTCAACCCAGACCCAGCCTGTCAAAAGTGTAAAAAGTAGCTGCTAATGTGGTGAGCTGTAACCTGAGGTTTGCACAGGATTTGATTTAAAGTAAATTCGTTTGAACACGCTTTTAAGGGCCTTTTGTAAGGAGGTGTCCATGCTGATAAAGATAAATATGTTTTCATACCAATAACCAGCTAGTAAAAATACAGACCTTGTACAAAAAAAGTAAAGCACTAAAAGGAGAAAAAACAAAAAAACAGGAGTGAAAAGGCGAGTTAATGAGACGGTGCTTCAGTGGTGCTGAATGGTGTGGTCAGTATTGGCCAGATTCTCACCACCCCAAGGTCTGTAGCTTATTATATATTGTCTTTGACAATAAACACAAGCAGCGGTGAAATATGACCATAGTGGTGTATTCAGCGCTAGAGGCCTCCACTCATGCATTCATAGCAGATGTGGAACATGCTTGGTCCAATAAAACCTATGCTTCTGATTTCTTCTCCACATCCTGTTTACTGGACTTATAAAATGATAGTTTTTCATAGACCATGCCAATATAGTTTGTGTTGTCTGCAGTCATTCCATTTGCTGGAAATTAAGGACTATTGCCTAAAAGCAAAGTGACCAGAGTTACCTTTTATGGACCCTGGTTTGGATTTTTTGCTGTCTGTGTGGTTTAGATTCCTTCTAGGTCTTACAGTCACTCCAAAGAAAATTGCTGTGTTTGACAAATAACCCGCACTTAAATACTCCCGCATAGCAGTGCATCAGGTTGTGTTGACACCAGTTGGAAGTCACCTCTGTGACGGAAACGTTTTTTGCAAATAAGTGAAAAGCTGATGTGCGTTAGCAATAAGAGCTCCAAAATGATTAGGTGTGGTTGACATGAGTTTATAATACAATGTTTCTACTCTAAACTATTGTCTAATTAAGTCTTGCACTAACTCACATCTGACAAACTCACAATAATAAGGCAGCCCATAATACTCCTTCCTCTTGTCCCTTCTCTAAAATAATGTCTTTAAAGAGGTGCCTGAGCCAGAGGATTTCACACTCTACTGTTATTGTTTGTCACTCTCTTAATGTTGCTTGTGCTGTGGCCTATTTTTTGTTTACCGTGTCTGAGGAAAGAACAGATGTAGACCCTTTTCCAGTCTCCTTGATTAATGATCTAAAGTTATGTCTGCGGAGTGTCATGCAGAATTTCATGAGCCAAGAAATGACCTATTATGAGCCATAAACAATTCAGAGTCCTTTTGTTTTGCTTACTCTCATTATACATGTACTGTTGATACAAAGCTGTATCTGATTTGTCATTGTACAAGTGAGGCAGTTTGCTTTTAATGGCCTTCAGCACATTTCGATTGCATTTCTTTTGCTGATTAAACTTTTTATTTCTTAAAGACAACAACTACGTTGCCCACAAGAAAATGAACATTTCCTCCACGTGCTATATAAAGACATACTCAAAGAACAAACAATTGTAAATACTGTAATAAACAAGCTCTCCCATTGTCTGGTTTGCATCCCTTTGCTTCCTGTAGTTTCACAACAAATTGGCCACAGGTGTTTGGTTTGCCCATTTATCCTTGTGTCCTTTGGAATTGTAAAGATGTGAGTTTGAGCTGAAGAGCGACCAGCACTGGATTTCACACAGTTTGAAATAAACAATTGAGGCAGAAGCCATGCCCTTTGTGCCAGCCTCTGGCAGACATTGTCCAAAACCTCTCACATGTTTGGGCTTTGGGCCCACTGCAGATTTAATCCATAGCATGTGTACACAGACTGCTCAGAGAACCTGGAGTGTGTAAGCCATGGATAGAAAGGAGCAAACATAGCAAACAGCTCAAATAAATGAATGCATATAAACATCTGCTGGATTTGTAAAGGTCTAGGTCATTGTTAAGAAACTGAGCATCCAGGGCTTTTCCTTCAGAGAATATGGGAGGGCTTCTGCTGTCTTTACGAAAGCCTGAGTCGGCACTAACAAACCCACTTTTAAATCCAGTTGGGGACCTTTGTTGCATGCAAACAACCCTGTTTTTTCTGTCTGGCTACACTTTGTATTATCAAAGATAGAGGCAAATTGACACAAAATAAATATAACAAAAATAATAAAATGTTAAGAGCTATGCATTAAATGTGTTTCTGACAATTTTAGTTGCAGTAACAGAATCACTCAAGGTTAGTGCTAGAAGAAACAACAAAGAATAGGGCTGGGAAATAAAACAATAATAATAATATCGCGATATAATTTTTTTCAGTAGCAATATAACAAATAGGGCTTGTTTTTTTAATAATTAGTTAATTTTGTTGAGGAAAAAAGCTTTTACTTCACTCATGCATATTTGTTGACAAAGATTTTATCATAATAGTTTTGAATGTTCTACCTCAGATTTGTGAAGTGATCCACTGTTTATAATCAAGTGTTTCTGTTCTTTCCGACCACAAAGAAGAGTTTAAACCCCAATTGACCATCTGGGTTCTTCAACTTTCAATCAGGAGCAAAAATCATCCATTAAACTCGGAAGAAATAACAATTTGATACTTTTCTTGATAATTATCGATATCGAAAGATATAAAGCTTTTTGTCGTGATAACAAAAGCTCAATTAATATTACAAGATACAGTAAATTTAACTGGTCTGATAGTAGCTAATGGTAATTGTGGACATGCATGTTAGCTAACTATTAACTATTGGATCTTAACATGCTGATGTTTAGAATGAAACATTTAGCCTGTTAGCGTGCCGGTAACATTAGCATGCAATCATGCTCACAGTTAGCATGCTCCTGGCTTTTTCCAAAGCTGCCAAACAAAGTCCAACAAAAAACTCTGAACAACAAAACAGTGTTGTTTACCAATGAGATTCATAATTATTTTAAGGAGTTTGTCAAATGCATGAGAACAAAATTCTATATTTATCACATGTATTTTTCTTTATGACATACCTTTGGGTATGTGCCACGGTGGTCACAAATAGTTAGCAAGTTGAAAACATCCTTTTGGTAAATAATGATGATATTTCTGAGTATGAACATATACATATTTACAATATTTTCTTGAATCACTCCATAATCATTAGTTGCAGCTCTACTTTCCAGCTAGCTGTCGAGTGACTTTGAAGCAGTTACAGATGCTCAGCAGTGTCTGAGCTTTATTCAGTGGCATTGCTCAGTTGATTGTTTCCTATAGTGTCCCAGCTCTCTGCCAAGTCTAATGACACTGCTGCTCCTCAGTAAACTGCACGTAGCTCCAGTCTTAAAAATACCCTTGCCGCATTCTGTCATACTTCCCTTGGGGACTGCCGTGGGTCAGAAATCCCACCTCGGGGAATCTCTTCACTGTTTGGAAATAGATTTGGTTTGCAGTGTTTACTGACATGTAGGGGTGCAGAGGAGGGTAAATTTAAATCTCATTTTTCCACCTCTCAATATCAGAACCTGGTTTAATGTAGATCCAGGAGCATGTTTGCAGTGTTTTGCAGGGTTTACAAAGGTGCGTGCAATTCTCAGAGAGTAGTCACCCATGTTAGGGCTCGCCTGAGGTTCGTCCAGCCAGAGGTTAGGCTTGGCATTTTCATTCCTATAGTTGGCCATTCATTAGAGGCATTAATGGCAACAAGATTAAAGAGATTTTGAGTTATTTCTTGTGCCTGGCTATCATGTAGATGTAGGCCTACTTTCCACTTTATTAAGTCCACCAAGTCTCCTAACAACTTCTAACGGCCTGAGGGTCTTTTCAGGGGAGATGATTTATCAGGGATGATGATTTTTAGGGTACTGGGGCTGAGCAATACATTGTAATATTAGATTTACTTTTTTGCAGTGCCATTGCACTTTTTTATGTCAGCATTTGGGTTATCCATTATCCGTCATAAGGTTATGCCTTGCACACAAATAATTAAATCACATTTGCTCTCTATTTGCATGTGTTAAGCTGTGGCACCTGCCCTCCTGCCACACTAGGGTTTGATGTGCAACAGGATGTAGCAGACTGTAGACAAACAGGATGTTTGCAAAGTGATTAACTCTGTTCTGCATCAGACGAACTTTTCACATGTGACTTTTTATTTTTATAATGAAGATGACAAGTAATTGTATTGTGCATAGTCTAAATGTTTTGACAAATTACAGTGGAATCCTATTAAGAATTCTGCCTCTTTTTTTTAAAGCCTGCGTGTAATGCTTTTTTATATTTCTTTCAGAGCTTGGGATGGCGCAGCGAAAGTTTGCTCAGTGCCTGGGGGAGTTTCAGTTTGAGTACATCGGCGACGCAAAGACAGATGATGAGAAATGTATTGGTAAGTGTGGGTTTGCCTCCTCACATGATGGAAACTAAACACTAGTTTTGTTACCACCATGCAGACATGCACTGTAAATGTTTGTTTATGGTTCTTTCTCTACCAGCAAATTAAGAGCAGTTTTGGTGTGCACCTGTGGTGGAAACAACTGATAATCATAATGTATTTTACGCTGCGCGTGAGAGAGAGAGAGAGAGAGAGAGTGAGGCAGAATGATTTCATTTGTAACCAAGTTGGGTTTTTTTTCTCCTTCAGATGAGTCTTTGCAAGAGTTCTCCTCATTCCTCAAGAACCTAGAAGACCAAAGAGAGCTGATGGTGAGAACAACCAGTCAGAACCTGCTAGAAAGCCAAGGGAAATACCTGTGTGTGTGTGTGTGTGCGTGCGCGCGCGCGTGCGTGCTAGTTATGCTTGGTTTATTTAACTGTGTGTCCTTGCACAGTGGGCATTTCCATCCAGGCTACACCTATTACTGTCCATATTTGGTATTTGCATCTATTAATGTCTGACTCCACCAGAGATCCAGGCACTCATAATTTAATTTTCTCCAGTGTACAGTACAACATCCTGTATGCAGAGCAAACCAGTTTCCTAGTGAGTGGATAAGTATTGATAGTAATCAAACAGTTCCTCCCCTTGTGTCTCAAGGTCACTGTCACAGCTCCTGCCTTGGAGGGGCTGCATAGAGGACAGGAGTCAATATCCACATTATTACACCCAAGCTTTAAACACCAAGACAGATCTACACGAGCTAGTACCGGCCATTATGACATGACACCATTACACTATCCCCTGCATCAGACAGCGTTGTTAAACTTGCTAATTTATAAACCACAAAATCACACATCCAATATGAAGAAAGTTATAACATCCTCATGAACTGCTATGCTGAAGTGTCAAGAAAAGTGTTACACGATGTTCTATACTGCAGATGTGGTGCACCATCCTGTGATTCATTTGTTATATTGATATACTTGTTCAAAAGCTCCTCATTTGAGGATTCTTTTAATTTTTTAATTTAAGCAGTAGGCTTAATGGCCAGTGATGGTTTAAGAAAAAACTTTCAGAAGAAATCCATCTAAAACATTCCTCTTCTTTGGACAGGGATGCACAGTTTAGCGTTTGTGACTTCCTATAAACAGCCATTTGTCTTGTAATGTCTGTCTGTAGTGTCTGAGGTTAGGGAGTGGGCCCCTCATCAGGAGCTGACTGAGATGACTGTTTTAGCGCCAGGCTCAGACCATAATGGTAAACACGCTGCTCAGCACAGCACAGCTCAGCAGAGTGGGATGACATCACAGTGCAAAGTAAGAAGGATGGGCATGCAGGCACAGACATGTCCTGCAGTTAGCCGAGCAGAAGCATTGGAGTAATGAGGAAAAATACAAACATACATAATAAAACATACTACATTATTTAAAGACAAATCTACTTTTAGAATAACAGTTATGTAATTTCAGACATGTAATTTAGTATATCAAGGCCAGTAGGGCATCAGTCATAAGGCAGCACCACTAGAGGCCAAGATACTTTATACAGCTGCCACTCTTCCCTGAAGTCAACAACACTTAAGACTGGGAAATGTTGTGTCATATGAAATAACAATGGGCTCTATCAATAATGAAGGTTTTGTTGTGGCTTATATCTGTCTAGATGAGAAACATCACAGAAACCTTAATGAAACCCCTGGAGAAGTTCAGGAAAGATCATCTTGGTACAGTAAGGGTAATGTATGATGGTTTATTTCCTCTTCACAATATGTTTCATAGCTCTTAGTTCATATGTTTGTATGCTTGCTGTATCCAAAAACAAAATAATCCATATTTCACAGTTGGATGCTTATAGCGTATAAATTATACAACAAACATAGCTTTAGTTTCTTTGTCCCAGAGAATGATCAAGTGTTTTTTTTCTCCTATATGCTTCTCCACCTTCCACTGTACCTTCTTAAGGCGGAAAGAAAGAGGTATGAGAAAGAAACGGAGAAGTACTACAGCTCTCTGGAAAAGCTTCTGAATATGTCGGCAAAAAAGAAAGAGCCACAACTAAACGAGGTATTTATCGTTCCCTGAACTCTCCGTAACATACAGAATCGCATCCTGATTTTTTTGGAGCCTTAAGTACTTTTATCATATCAGTGTTGTGCAAACACACACACACACACACACAATGTGTGTCAACATGGATGACTTGTCTGTCTACTGCAAACCAAATCTACCTACAGGTACAAATAAAATTACCCAACCTAACCCAGCAATTCATAATGACTGCAGAATGGGTGGAAAAGGGTATTTTGTTTGGGTCGAGAATCCTTGTTTTTGATTTTTGCCTTTGTGCCTTGTGGAAGAGCCTTGCTGCAAAGCCTGTTGGACCGTGTGTGTTTCCACTGACGTGCCTTGCTGCCATAGTTTTCCTGGCTTGTTTGGAAAGGAAATGTGTACTCACTTGTGCTGTGCTGCCAAGGTCAAGCCTGATTGCTGTAGTTTGGGGAACAATCCATGCAATGTACGATGACATAAAAATTTTATATTGTGGAAATTTCAAAGGATTCAAGGGATCTTTATTGTCATTCTGCCTTGTAAACCCGAAGAATGAAATTAGGCCAGTCTTAATACCATTTTATCAAAAAATAATACTAAAATACATAGTGAAGTAAATAAAGTGATGTGCAAGAAAATATAGCAACCTCTTGCTTAAAAATGTTTCCTCTCTTCTTGTCTTTGCAATGTCATGTAGCCATGTAAGGCTTACCCATATGTTGTATACACCAACCAGAGAGGACACTTGAAACTGTTGACATTATGACTGCAGGCTGTTCTGTTCTCTGTGACTCTTGTGACACAAGGGTCTGTGGTACCAACACTGATTTCTATCAGACTTAATAAATAGACCCAGTGATTCGTTCACAGCCACAGGAGTCATGAACCTTCTCAACACTGCATCAGTTGTTAGTCAACTCAATAGACAGTAGCATATAGTATGAAAAGCAGTATGTGAACTTTGATCTTATTTATTTTAAAGTGGGAAAAAAAGGACTTATCAGTAGTTGACATTTAGTAGGCAATGATATCAGCCAGTAATCTTACTGCAGTAAGAAGGTATGTTACTTACTACACTTAAAAATGCTTTGCATATATATATATATATATCACACACACACATCGGAGTAGGGCTGGGCAATGTGGCCAATAAAGGTTATCGCGATAAAAAAAATTTGATATCGGTTAATCATATCAGTAAATGTCAAATCACTTTGGAGGATAGCACACAGTGGTTAGTGCTATCGGCTCACTGCAAGAAGGAAACAAATCCCGACTCTGGCTTTTCTGTGTGTAAATTTGTCCCCGGGGTGCTCTGGTTCCCTCCCACAGTCCAAAGCCGCAGGATTTCACCGGCAACCCTAAATTGCCCGTAGGTGTACGTTTGAGTGTGTCATCTGTCTATACATGTTAGCCCTGTGACATCAAACAAATTGTACATTCAGGGTACTCCGCCTCTCAAACAAAAGTGAGCTGTGATAGGCTCCAGCCTGCCTGCAATCTTGCAAAAAAAGGACAAGCAGGCATAAATAATGGATGGATGGATATTTTACAGTTCTGCTACTGTTGCTTCAGAAGAGGATCCCCCTCTCTGTTTCACTTCCATTTTTTCTGGCTTTTCCTGTTTTGTTTTTTTGTCAGTGTGTAGCTTTTCTTTTTATGAATCGAGACAATGGAGGGTGTTGTATGTTATACAGATTATATAGCCCTATGAGACAACCCTGTTATTTAGGGCTATTTCAATTAAATTGATTTAAGTATATTCAGTATTTGATTGAGCGCTAAGCAATGTCAGTATCCCTTTTGTAAGAATATACTGCTATAACAAGAAAATCTTGAAATAGAACAGGATCACAAACATTGCAATGTTTCTTCTTTGCTTCCATGCATCTGTCTGTCTCGATAATCATCATGGTGTGTGTGTTCTCTGCCTCCACAGGCAGACAGCCAGGTGGAAACCATGAGGCAACATTTTCAGGAGGAGTCCCTGGACTATGTGTGCAAACTGCAGGAGATCCAAGAGAGAAAGAAGTTTGAGTGTGTGGAGCCGGTGAGTGACTGACCTTAGTGGCATGTTGGCACTGAGGTGGCTTGTCTTTCACACTAATAAAAGCAAGGGGCAATACAGGATGTGTAGGGTTGGGTATCGTTTCAAATTTTACGATACCAGTACCAAAACCAGTACCCTTAAAGTGATACCAATACCAATTGAGTACTTCAATACCTTGCATAAAATGCCACCTGTTGAAGCCATAGTAGTTCATTGGTAGCCTATTATTATTTTTATTGTTGTTATGGACAAGCAAGGTTATCTATTTTATTTTTTTCTTGTTTCAAATAACTGTTACATAAAAGTATTGGGAAATTGTATCAGATCGCTCCTCATCCTAATTAGGTCATCATCATGGGTAGTGTTATACGGTGAAAGACTATATATATATTTTTTATATTTATATGAGAGGAGTGAAATAGTTTAGTGACCAAATAAGTTGTGGGAAACAAATTTATGGTATTTTTTTGATCCGTGTTGAAAGTAAACAACGGAAAATTATTTAGTTAACTTTCAATCAATAAACTGAATTGAAAGATCTCCGAGTGCTTTTTCCTTTCATTGGTTAGTCGCAAACCTCCAAAAACAACAGTCATAAGTATAAAATGAGTAAGGAGTCTGTTTAAACAAGTCACTAAACTACACAAACCGAGGAAAAGAGAGGCTGCAAGTCCAGCCGATCAAGCCTGAAGCAGCTGCAGCTGTAGTAGACTCCGTGAGTAAAATCGGCTACAAGCACCACAAAAGCGTTTAATTGATGTGATGGAACGCAGCGATCGATCAGTGACAAGTGATGTGAATAGCAAATAAAAATGTACAGAGAAGTGTTAAATGATACCAGAAGATGAAACCAAAGGAAAGCCAAGCTTGTGGTGATAAACTTGCAACTTGTTCGTCACTGAACATGCCTGAGACCTCAGCCGAAGGTGAGCGGCTGTTATAATCACGCATAGACTCGGCACGTGCTGGCCTTTTTTTAATACAGTTTACGGTGCAGGCACATAAGGAAAAAAAGGCGTGCTCTTCTCTTTCTTTTGGTGTGTTGTTTGCATGTTTGGTTGGAAGCAAAACCATACAAATAGTAATTTTTTCCTGATAATTCTTTCATGTTATGAGAGTCTTACAGTCCTCTGTTGTGATCTTTTTAGATGCTGGCCTTCTTTCAGACGGTCTTCACCTTTTATCACCAAGGCTTTGAGCTCGCCAAGGACTTTGACCATTATAAAAAAGCACTACAGATCAATATTCAGAATGTAAGAAATATTAATATTTTATGATTTATATTTGTAATTTGTAATGAGTAGGATTCTAACCATGACAATTGCTTGTATACTATGTGCATGTTCTTGTGCTACCCAAAGAATAGAAAAAGTTTTGAGTGTAATGGGTACCAGAGTGAAATTTAAAAATGTTTTACCACTAAAGGGCAGACAGGATGGAGCAAAACTTTGATATATTATCAGCTTACCAACTTCCTATCGCTAACCATAGCACAACATAGCAAACAGTTTCCTACTTAACACAACCACTAAAGCTTAAAACAGAGCTTCATGGGCCACTGGAGTCCTCTATCTGTCTAACTGACAGATCCAAGTCCAACATTTACTTCCCTTTTTGTATTCATCTGGCCGCCCAATTCTAAAAAAATATCTGACTCTGCTTCATGTTTTACTTCTTCAGGCACTTGTTAACTTTGTACCTGCATCAGTTTGGTTTCTCCTATTCAACTGCGTCTTATTTCTGTTTTATTCTTGGTGTTAGATTACTACTAACAATTCAACTGATTTCATAGAGCTTAATGGGGTTTCTAAGGGAAGTTCCTAGGTCTTGATTTGCTGTGGCCTCTCATTAAGAGGATCTTCCTACCTAACCACTGAGTAACAGGAAGTGACTTCCTGGAGCGTGTGTTTGCTTCCTCTCCCTCCCAGACAAGGGGTCGATTTGAGGGTGCGCGATCAGAGGTGTACGAGCTGATGAAAAGGATCAGGGAGACTCCTCAAGAATACAGACAGACGAGCCCTATCAGTTGTGAAGGCTACCTCTATGTACAGGAAAAACGTAAGACCTTTATATAGCTCTAATGTGTTTTAATATGGGGTGTCATATTACACCCATTCATAACACGCACTACAGCATGGAAATGTAGTCAAGGCAAGAGCGCATGACATACTCTCCAAATATACGCGATCCAATGTCATGGTCAGAAGGGCAGATTTTACTGCTTCTTTTCAACTCCTGTAAAAGTGTAGTTTTGCCCCATATTAAAACCTGACTTGTGAAATGTTTTCTGTACCTGCTGTCGGTTGTCTGTGACATTATCATAAGGGTTGCAGGAAAGTTTGGACAGACTAGTAATTCTCTTTCATGCCTACTAAAAACAAAACGTGGAGGTTCAAATGTGTTGTTTTTTTTTTACCATCAGCAGCAGTGATGCAGTGTGATGCACCAGCAAAATGTTACTGAAATAGAGACAAAGTGATTGTTTTGTTGTTTTGATGGCACACATTGTCATGTCTGGTATCTTCCCTAACACTGCTGCAATTAAGCAATATTGATTGTAATGATCCAAATAATGTTGAATGTCTGTGTCATTGCTGTACCTTGTTTCTCTAGGGCCACCCCCTTTTGGTTCAAGTTGGGTCAAACGGTACTGCACTTTTGTCAAAGAGCAGAAGATCCTGCACATGGTGACATTTGACCACAGATCTGGTGGGAAGATTGTGAGTAGTCATAGAACACGAAGTGTTATACAGTGTGTTTATTAATGCCCCACACAATATCTCAAACGCATTCACTATGCAGTCTTGCATTTTTCAGAATGGCATGCTTTATTTATGATTCTTTTTTTTTTATCACCACAAATTTTTTATTTATTTATTTTTCCCAGGGTGAGAGAGAGTCTGTCACACTCAAATCCTGTGTCCGCAAAACGACAGACGTGTTGGACAGGAGGTTCTGCTTAGAACTCGACATAACAGATCGGTACGTCATCGCCTAACACTGTTTCTCTGTCTCACACACACACACACACACACACACACACACACACACACACACACACACACACACACACACACACTCTGCACACTGTAATGTAATGTAATTATGCTTGTAGATGCAGGTATCACTTTGCGTTATGCCACAAGTGACACACAAGTGCTTTATTTGAAAATGTTCTCCCAGATGACTCGCTTGCTAGAACACAATGCAAAATATTCTCATGTGCCTTGTCCATAGTGGTCACAAAGCACATAGATTATCTGTTGTGATATTCCACTTGGTGATTACACTTTAGCTTCTTGCTCTATGTGTTTTGACTCGCAGAGGGCAGGACAGCAGGATTTGTCTTACTGGGTTGCCCTCACACACTTAGCTGGGAGGATTTGTCACACCCTGCTGTTCCCTCCTGTAATAGATACCTGATTTTGTCACACAACTTAACCTGCCCTGCCCCTTTTCTGTATTATTAATAGAAGAGTAATACCCCAGATTTAGTATGGAAATTGGAGTCCACACATCCATTCTGACTGGGATGAGTAACTTGACATCCATCTGGTTCACCATGATTGTAGGTGTCATAAACCAGCTTGGATGAATAATAGGCTTCATATTTGTAGTTATTGCAAATCCAAGGTGCAAATGCCCTTGGGAGAGGGTGTTTCCTGTTGTTGTTGTTGTTGTTGTTGTTGTTGTTGTTGCTGCTGCTGCTAAGATTGCTAAGCACATTTGATGTTTCATATTGATATTGACATCCGCTAATGCTTTACTTGAGCTGTAGCTCTAAGGCTTTGCCTAATGCTGATTTGGTATGGCTCTTTTCAAGGCCAGGGACAGTGCTAACTGTACAGGCTCTGTCAGAGGATGACCACAAGTTCTGGATGCAGGCCATGGGTGGGAAGGAACCTGTGAGTCAGCCGCCTGTACTATGTCATCATCTACCACTCACACTTGACTCATGTAGCTCTTAACTGCCTTTTTATAAAAGATATAGAACAATTCTCTTTAGTTGAATATGCTTCCATATACATGCTCTTTTCTGTAAATCACTTATACTTGATAAGCTTTAAAAATCTTTTTACAGATCGGACACTATCTTGGGAGAACTCTTTCTAAAGAAAGAGGAAGTAAGTTTTCTAGACGTACCAGACTTTGTATCTGTAAAAGAATATCATTAACTTTCATGAACGCAACGCTTCGCCACATTTGAAGGTTTTATTTTTCTTCCATCTGCAGTTGATGCTCAGCTGGATGATATGGGTTTGAGTTTTGTGAAGAACTCCATCAGCGCCATAGAGACGAGAGGTGAGCTTCACATATGTAAATTAGTGTTGTAGTCAAGACCGCCCAGACAGAGACAAGACCAAGACTTTTAGGGGCTGAGACCAAGACCGAGGGAGTACGAGACCGAGTCAAGACCAAGACTAGTTCCCCACATTACATGACACAAAATAAAATGTGGAATGAGATCATAGTTCTCAAATTGATCTGACAGAGCCACATTCCCATTAAAACACCCACATACAAACACTAAAAACTTCAACGTAAGCATCTTTGTTTAATACTCCTTTTCCATGCTTACCATCACAGGGAGGGGTGACAATTATTAACGGTAACACATTTTTAGTTATGGTTATTGGTTGCATTTGAAGCAATACGTTTTACATCCAATCAAAGTTAGGATGTTAACAAATACATCAGATAATGCAAAAGCAATTTACTGATATTCCAAAGTTATGGTCTTGACTGGTCTTGAAATAAAATCCCAAGTCCTCTATGTCCGAGACCGAGACAATCGAGTACAAATGCGAGACCAAGACCATCAAAAAGTGGTCTTAAGACCGGTCTTGAGTACTACAACACTAATGTAAATATATAAAAGCTCAGTTAAGGCCAGGTGAGGTGATTTATATGGGGAAATTTAACATAAGTGTTAGTTGATAATAAAAGGTAACATGGGTGCAGTGTCTTGGGCTGTACACAAGGGGACAGACTTGCTCCAATATTGAAATAAAAGGCTGACTCGCAAGTACTGCAGGCAGCTTGTACTGTAGATAATACTAATGCCTTTCATTATGTAGCACTAAAGTTCTTATTAATTTGCTTCAGTCTTCACATGCTTATTTGGCCTCTTTTACAGTCCAAAATTCAGCTTTGGTCTAGTCCCTCTCAACGTGGACAGTATTTCGTTATGCAAATAGGCATCTATCTTACTGAGGGGACATTGCAATGGCATATTCATGTATCTGCTATATAGTTTCCACATACCGGGTTGTTGTCGTGAAAATATAATATTCTGTCCTCATTCTTTATGATTTTGTTGCTTGTTTTAGTTTGCCTCTTCTTTTACTGTTTACTTTATATATTCTTTTCCTGTAAAGCACTGTACAGCTTTACTAAGGAAAGTACTATACAAATAAAGTTTCTTTATTGTTATTACTTCTCAGGTATTAATGACCAAGGCCTGTACAGAGTTGTTGGCGTAAGCTCCAAGGTCCAGAAGCTCCTCTCATTAATGATTGGTAAGTCTGTTCTTTTCTTTCGGCTGTGGAAATGTATTCCCATGGAGTAAGAGTTGAATAAAGTTAAATGCTACTGCACTATCTCTGTGATATTAGGTTGCCCCCTAGTTAGTTGAATGTGCTGACGTAATGGATCTTTTGTCGGGGCAATACTTAGAAGATCGTGACTGACGATCAGCCCATGACTCAGCCTATCAAAACCTCAAGTGCAACAAGTGCCTGGGTCTATCTTTGCCTCACTTCCATTCAGTTAAATATCTCCCAGACAACTAGACAGGGTCTCCCTCGTCCACATCCTTGCACTTTTTGGCTTTTGCTTCATTAACACACCACTAAAACGGCCTCTCGGGGCTGGCTTAGACTATCGGTCGCGTTTCTCGATTTCCTTTATGCCTCTCACTTGTCTTCAATCCCTTTCACTCAACTCCATTTCTATAGAGCTTGTCCTCCATTGCTCCCTGTCTGCTCTCTGGTTTCCTGCCGTCTCCAGCAGACACCAGCTCACTTTCAGTGCTGTGTCCAGAATGACAACAAACTCAGGCAGCCGCCAGCTTGTCTCAGCTTCCTCTCCAAAACCTACCAGACTCCCAACCTGCCGACTCATGCTGTAGACTCCATTAACACTCTGCTGCTGCACTCTAAGAAGTTCCATTTAAGCCTGTATATGGCAAAAGAAGCGTTGGTCTGTGGTATTAAAATTCCACATTATATTGTGAATGAGGGGATATACTAATTATGTTTAGGTGTATGTATGTATGTATGTATGTATGTATGTGTGTATGTATATATATATATATATATATATATATATATATATATATATATCATTATTTTATGTATCCATGAAAGGACTATTATGTATGACAGAGTTAGTACTACTTCCGCACAAACAAACACATTCACAAACATCTCATGCATACAACAGTTCACAGTGAGTGGGTGAAGCAAGCTTTAAACCCTGAAGAAAGACTTTGGATCCTCCCACTCCTCCTCCTTTTCATCTCTCACCCACCGACATGGCCAGGGTCCAATCAGAGAGGACAGGCTGATAGAAAACAAATCTCCCATCATATTACAGTACAGAGAGAGCGGCACCTATTGAATGTCAGGCAGCAATATAACAGGAAGAAGACTGTAAAAGTGAGCTCCATTCTGTCTCTGACCTGTCTGTTGTACAGCATGTGGCAGGAGAGTGTGTGGCGTTGGTCTGGATATGGCTGTGATAATTGCTGAGTTAGATGTCCTGATTCTATAGATATAATTGCAGAGGGAGGCAAATTTGAGGGATGCTTTGAGATTTTTCCATGGTTTAAGGCAGAAATTACCATGAACACTGTATGATGTGTCAAACATGGTGGACCATTTATTCCAGAGAGCTGACCAGATGCTGAAAAGCTCTATGTTGCTTCCTACTTCTGTTAAATAGTATCGGTTCAAAACAATAAAGAACTGAAAAAACGTATTATTACTTTAAAGGGTTAGTTCACTTAAACTACCATTAAAGTCAAGGGCAACTGGATGAAGATACTTCAATAATGTTTCGCCTCTCATCCGAAGGGCTTCTTCAGTTCTGACTGACTGGTAGGGAATCCCAGCCATTTAACCTCTGTGGGGTAGTATTCAAGGTGATCGATACCGCTTGAGTTGTTAGTGCTCCTAGCTGTGTAGTTGTTGTGGTTGTTGTTAATGAGGCCAAGTCTGAATGACTGTTGTTGGCATGGTCAGATGGTCAGGTCAAATATGAGTGTTTGATCACTCTCCAGAGATAAGATGAAAGGACAGCGTTGCGTAAGTGGCGCCTTAGCACTCATTCCCTATTCAGAGATGGTCTCTCTATTCTGGTATAAAAGGCCTTTTTCAAACCATCTGTTCTCCCTGTCCAAAATATATACATGGTTGTCATTGAAAGAGTGTCCCTTGTAGGTAAACTGTTGAGTCTCGACCTGAGGAGTTTTTGTGTGGAGCCATGTAATCATTGTTTGGTTTCCCCAATATATAGGTGTGTGCATTCCTCACTGCACAGACCAGTTGCCCTTGATTTTAACCTCCCTTGGATAACGATGACCTGGATGATTGAGAATCTTCACATACAAGAAGCATTTCCACTGTGACGTCCCGCACACTGTGGCTAGTGGGCCGCCTCTTTGATCAGGGAGGGTCATTCTTGGCCTTGGCTTTCTTAGAGAGAGTCAGTGGTTTCTAAGGAGTTGCAAGACAAATCTAAGTGTCTAGTTTGTACAACGAGTCGTCAATCAAATGTGTTTGTAGTTGTTCCCAATGGACACACTTGAAGGAGGAGTGAGAGCTGGCCGCCATAGAGAGGGAGGAGATGATATTGTTTCAATAAAAGGGTGCACATTTTCAGACAGTCTCTCCTGGAAGACTTTCATAGTGTTGCACTCATGTGTTCACATAAAGTGACAGAAATAGTTGTAGAAAGAAAGGGAAAAAAATAGAAATTGAGACAGAAGTTTAAACCCAGGCTCCTTTCTCACCTCCACATTGCTGGCGAATCGCAGTGTGAAGTGGGTGTGAATGTCGGATTGTCAGTTTTGGAAAGTTACAGAAAAGATTGGACGCCCCCCCCTTCCAATCTGATTGAAATGTGTGGGGTTTCTGAAGCTATTCGACCATCCGACAAGAACTTCGTAAGAAGCATACAGATGGCTTAAGGGGTCCCGAGGTGAAAAAGTTGAACTGGTCATAAACTGAACATACAGGAAGCAACAAGTGACGAAGTTGACATTGCTTCTTCTTAAGGGCCAAAAATGTTGAGAACCATTGCACTAGGCTGTAAAAGCTGGCACTTCTTTTACCATACACCCTGCATCTTCTCCTCCTTTTTTAAATTTTGGTACGCTTCAACACATCTACAACATTGTTTATTTTGGGTAAAGTTGAGTAGATGATATTTGGTGCAGTCTGTCATGTGCCTCTACTTAGTTTTGAAAATGTGTGATGGTCAGGGAATTTTGACAGATCTCTCTTTTGGAATGGATTTGTACGGCAGAACGTTTTTCTGCATCTGAGGGTGTCATGGGAGCTGCTTCTATGCTAAAGTCACCACAGAGAACAGTAAATAGCTTAATTTAGATAATTAAGGTGAAATAACAAACAATTACATCTTTGAACTTGCGGCTGCTTTGTGGTTAGCAGTTTCACAATCAATATTACCCCAACGGCTACTGCCAAAATTGTGTTTTGCGTCCTTGACTTAACCAAGTCCAAGCCTGTTTGTGCTAGAGCGCAGTGCAGAGCCTGTGCAGACCCCATCAATTTCAAGTCATGCACACTTACCGAGGCGCAGCTTTGGCTGCAAACACTCTACAAGAAACCTTTTCTTTCAGAAGTTGTTATTGAACAGGCCATTTTGTAGACAGAGCAGGTGGAGAAACACACAGTCATCCTTGTTGCAGTGCTTAGGTGAAATAAAAAAGATAAATTTTCCCAGTAACACAGACCACCTACACATGAAGCTGAAGTCTGTGTGGTACCCTGAGTCCTGTACAGTACATGTGTCTAGCTCACAACACTTCACTGACACATTGCACTTTCACATCCTCTGTAATTCATCAGAAGTTACTTAAGGTGTGACTAAAGCCCCATGAATTTTCAGCACAAAACAGCCCTGGAATCCCTGTGGAGCCAATGAAGTAGTAAGGGATTAATTAAACTTGTAATGAGTGTAGAACCAGCAGCCCTCTACAGAAGCTGTAACTTCCTTACATATCCATTGGGGCTAGACTCGACCCCCAAGGCTAGTAGCACTGCTTTTATCCTCATATGACTTATTACAAGTTACATATTTATATTACATATTTGGACTTCCTAGGCTGCCCACAAAATCAAACAGTGTCTTCGGCTGCTAAATGCAAAAAGAATAATGAGTTGGTGCTTTGTGCCGTTTCCTCAGTCAATGAATTTTCTAGTAAGAATTTCTTTCATGATTGTGATTCATTCAGATGAGAAGAGCAATGATGTGGATCTGTCTACTAGCGAGGACTGGGATGTGAAGACAATAACGAGTGCACTGAAGCTTTATCTGAGGTAAGCATCAGTGGGATGAAAGACACACTCTCCCACACAGACAAACCAGAAAGGCAACAATAAATCCATTAATCGATTAGTTGATTGACAGAAAATGAATTGGCAACTAATTTGATAACTGCCAATTTTCTGCTTTTCAAATATGAGGATTTGATTTTTTATTTTGTCATTATCTTATAGTAAGTATATATAATATTTTCTGATATTTTAAAGACAAAACAATAAAATGTTAGAAAGAATTGTAACAGATTAATCGCTGATGAAAATAATCATTAGTTACAGGCATAAAAACATACATTTCTACCCAATAGGCATTGATGATATTGTTAATTTGCTAATCATTTCCTAAACTTTTGTTGTGATCAGTTTAACTGTTTGGTTGAATCTGGAGTAAGTTAAGTTTCGTAATTGGTTCTCTTTGTATCGATGCATTCAAACAGAGAATATGACATAACTAGTCCAGAAGCATCTTGTTGCATAATTGATCATTTTGATTAATCTCAGTGTTTCCTCTCTATGCATTCACGCCCGCCACTGCTAAAATTTCCCACGATCATTAAGCCACGCGCTACACATGTTTTCACTCCCACACTGTGCGAGCACGGCAGCACTCAAAGCTCGCTCGCTTCCTCTCCACGTTCTATGCAGAACATACGCGACAGATGGTGTTAAAAGAGCAGCGTAACTCTGAATCGGGAGGTGCGTAGCGAGTGTTTGATTGTCCGAGCGGCAGAAAGTGACGGTGAACGCGAGCGGAGGAAAATATTCTGTCAGTAAATGTACAGTGTCTGTTACAGTGTGTCAGCTTCTCGAGACCAAGAAAAGTCTGATGTTTCCCACCTGCTGGAAAAGTGAAGCCGGTTAGCGCTAAGTTAGCTAACATCTCCACTCCCCTTCAGACTGAGCTGAGCAGGAAAGCTTCTACCGCAGCTAACGTTACTCAGCTGCAATGTAACTTAACATTAGCTCAATATATAAAAAAGTATCTGGAAGCTGTATTTTATTACTGCCTACTCGTCCAGTGTTCAGAACATCAGGTACAAACTTAGACTAGACTGACGTAGCCTGCAGCTCTGTCCTGTACAGACTGGTTAAATTATTTCTCAGTTTTCAGTCTGAAAAAGTGGTTTTGGAAAAGAAATGACAGAGGTGACCTGAGGAGCTGAGGTTAGTAAAGCTAATTAGTGATGCAAACTAGTCCTTTTAAGCTAATGAGGAGACATTTATTTTTGGATTTTAATGTGCAAATAAAATGCACCTCAGAAGGGAGGAGGTTTCCCATGTTGCCTTTTTTTATATTAATGTCTACAGATAAATGTCAGAAGCTGTAAAATGAAGACACAAAAGGCAAACATGTCAAACAGTCGTATCTATAATGATTCTGAGGTCATATTAACAGGGTTTTCCTGCCGTTAGGGCTTAGGGGTGATGCCCAAAACATGCTGTGCCATCACTGTGGAGCAACAGAAACCTGTTTGTCCGGCCCCGCTGCTGAAAAAAATCCTAGAGGAAACACTGCATTTTATAAGCCACCAATCTGTATTATTCAGGGATGCCATGTGTCTAAGCACATCCACTCCTGACCCAAGAAAACCCAAGTGGTAAATGGAAGATTTTTTTACATATATATACTTACTCCTTAGACGAATATGGGAGAGCCTCAGTTCACTTTTACGTTTTTCACATTTTATCCATCGTCTACTCCATCTTTTTAAAAATAGACAAAATTATTTATGCAAGTGCTTTTTGTATAATTAAGTCCTTGCAAGGTCACATTGCTTACTGTATGCCTGTTCCAGGTTCATCAATTCCTTCCAGGTTGACAGATAGTGTGGGTGAAGTTCAAAGATTAAAAATGTGGTTATTAGTTACAAGAAGCTGAGCCACTTTAATTTAAATGGCAATTTGTTATTGTAAACATGTGCAGTTAGCAGCAAGAAGTTAATACTGTCAGTATTGTCATGCAAGCAAAATATCAACTATGATCACAATATTGTCAGAATTGTTTTAATAATTGGTTTGAGAAAATAGCTATCAACGCTATTGATACCATATTTGATTTGGCCCCTCCTGTATAACAGCAGGGGAGTATAAGTATTCTGATCAGGATGGAAATGACAAGTCCTGTTGAAAGGGGTTAAGCTTGTGTTTTGATGGGCAAAATTTAAGCTTTGACCCTTCCAAGGAAGCAGTTTGATGTAAGGGGCTGTGGGGCGTTGGACACTAACTCAGTCCTCTCTCACTCAACACCCACAAGTAAAGGAGAGCTTTATTATATTTAGTCATCCAGTTCTTACCACAACATTTAGTTACTTTTAAACTATATATAAACACATCTGTGTTGTTATGCTATATTAAACCATGCAGAGTGTTGCTCTAACTTGTCTTTTACTTTGTGTCTGGCCTGCTGGAATGAAACAGGGTCAATCTCAGTTTCCTCTGAGGCTAAGCACCTTTGGCCACTGGCCAGCTGCAGTGTGAAAGTACCTTCAGATGAACTTGGTTATCTCAATGCGTGCGCCATCTAATTCCATCCCCTGGCCTGGCCACATTAATCATTGCTGTGTGCAGACCCTATAAAACAGTGTGCCAGCTATTTCTGTCCCTCCTAGCTCAATTCAACTCTGCTTCTCTATCCACCCCCCACCCCCACCCTTCTCTCTTTCTCTCGCTATCTCTATGAAGGAGCCTTCCTGAGCCGTTGATGACCTATGGACTTTACAAAGAGTTTATTAGCCCTGCAAGTAAGTTTGAACACCTCTTATACCACCGCCTGATCTGAGTACAGACCATAAGCAACAGTGTAAACATGTGTTGTATCAGTCTGAAATCAGTCTGAAATCTACATTTCAGTTTACGCACTGGTTTGTTCTGCTTCAGCGAGTTATTGAAAACATGCAGTCAAAACAGTTAGATTACTTTTTACTAACTTTTAGGGAACATAGCTTATAGTGGGCAACCCTCTTGAATGAAGGATTCATCCTGTGAAAGCCATTTGTGTGTTAATGTCTTGAATGATACTTGTGTATGTATTATTCCTCATATTTAGACTTTAAAACACTTAGTGCTCTCCAAAAAGTGCAGTGTTTAATGTTATACCTTTGTCTTCTTACTTACACTGAACAAAATTATAAACGCCACACTTTTGTTTTTGTCCCCATTCATCATGAGCTGAACTCAAAGGTCTAAGACTTTCTCTATGTCTATTATCTGCCGAGATAATCCATCCACCTCACAGATGTGGCATATCAAGATGCCGATCAGACAGCATGGGTATTGCAGAGGTGTGCCTTAGGCTGGCCGCAATAAAAGGCCACTAGAAAATGTGCAGTTCCATCATACAGCACAATGCCACAGATGTCGTAAGTTTTGAGGGAGCCAATGTCCACCAGAGTTGTTACCCGTGAATTGAATGTTCATTTCTCTACCATAAGCCATCTGCAAAGGCGTTTCAGAGAATTTGGCAGTACATCCAACCGGCCTCACAGCCGCAGAGAACGTGTAGCCACACCAGCCCAGGACCTCCACATCCAGCATCTTCACCTCCAAGATCGTCGTCTGAGACCAGCCACCCGGACAGCTGCTGCAACAATCGATTTGCATAACCAAATAATTTCTGCACAAACTGTCAGGAACCATGTCAGAGAAGCTCATCTGCATGCTCATGAATGAAACTTCACATTTTCGAGTGGCCATTTATTGTGGCCAGCCTAAGGCACACCTGTGCAATACCCATGCTGTCTGATCAGCATCTTGATATGCCCACATCTGTGAGGTGGATGGATTATCTCGGCAAAGGAGAAGTGCTCACTAACACAGATTTTGACAGATTTGTGAACAATATTTGAGAGAAATAGGCCTTTTGTGTACATAGAGAAAGTCTTAGATCTTTGAGTTCAGCTCATGATGAATTGGGGCAAAAGTGTTGCATTTATAATTTTGTTCAGTGTAGTTTCAGAAATGTCTTACTCGCTCACTAATGTGTGTTATAGTCAAGTTGATGATGAGAAATGTGAGTAAAAAATAGCCTAAATAGCCTTTCAGCTGACTTTGGCTAAAACATTTTTAACACTTCAGACTGTTTCATACTGTGTTTCTATTTCTAATTTCTACCTATTTTAACTTGCTACTGGAAATGTGTGTCCAAATAAGCCATTAAATGTTAAAGCTAAAAGGTTTAAAATGAAAAATATGCTGTAATTTGCATGCCCTCAAATGGTCTAGTGAATGACCTTGAACAGCAAAGAGACACTTTTTTTCCCCTCTCGCCCACATAACATCATTTATGTATGAAATGTCTTTAAAGCAAGCCAAACTTGAATCTCTTTACAAGTGCTATAATTGGATCAGGTTGACATTTTTATCAGGCGCTCGCAATGCCCTCATAACGAGGGGGAAAAATGGATTAGCAATGAATATTTTTTTTTTGATGGATGACAGCATCCATAAGAGGCTTTTTCCATGTTTAAATCCTTGTCGTTCCCATAGTAATGATATTTTGTGTGTGTGTGTGTGTGTTTGTGTGTGTGGGCGGTCAGATGCCCATGTGTGAGGAAATGTTTAAGAGATGATCTTGGGGGTTTTAACACAACCCTTTTATACGGTAGCGACAGTAACGTAAAGCTATCTCCTTCGCCAGCATAGTGGACCCTGCTGCCAAATTCTGGGAGGCTTCAGACCATATATCACTATCACACCTCTTCTTCCCCTATTTAAAGTGGAATGTATCATCCTCTAACTCTTAATATTTGAGGGTGATAGCCTCTGATCATTATGTCCTTAAAGGTCCACTAACTTTTGCTCAATTTCCAGAATGTATCCCAATAGTTTTTCAAAGTAATAGAGGGTTCTGTTCTTCCACTAAATTACTTTTATTTTCTGTTTCAGTGACCTTAAACTCTGATTGTACTTTGCTGTAGTTAACAGTGTATATAGTGTATCACTCATCTCTTAAAATTAGCTGTTTGCTAATGTTGTACAGTATTAGATCGCAGCTGCGTTGGCTGTTTGCCACCCGAGGAGCGCGGAGAAATCCTTGTGGTTTAATGCGACTGTATGGCTGCTTCTGTGTTTGAACAGAGGGCGGTAGTCCAGAGGCTCGCATCCAAGCCATCCACTGCCTGGTCCACAAACTACCGGAGAGGAATCGACAAGTCCTCGGGCTGCTTATGAAGCATCTGGCCAAGTGAGTGCTCATAGCTCCCTGGTCATAGTTCATCCAATCTTCACAACCCCTCCCTCCTCTGTCTCAATTCTCTCTTTCTGCTCATCCTGTCTGTCTCCTCATTCTCACTCCACATGCTTTTTCTCTCTCTCTCTCTCTCTCTCCCTCACTCCCACTCTCTTTACTCCCCCTTCCCTGCTGTCACTCCATCTCTTCTCTGTCTACTCAGTGACTGCTGGGTAAGAAAATTGATGCTGCTTGTTTTGAATTTTTTTTGCCTTTTCTTAGGTCATTTTGATGTTTATTTAAAGTTGTTGTAGGAGGATTGTGTAGCCTGCTGTACCTGTTGTGCAGCCCACCAGTGAAGTGAAATGAAATGGACCTCTCAAATTAAGCCCTCTCTTGAGATTACTCTATACACCCATGGATGGACCGCTATTGTGCATCACTCCATTTGTGAGATTAGATAGGAAGAAAGATTGAAGAAATAATGTTAGCTAACATTACAAGGTTTTACCTCAGCAAGCTTTTTATAAACTAAATATGAGCAAATTGAAGATAAGTAAATAATCCCTCTTCCCTGAGGCAGTGAAAGTCTGGTGGATCTTATTTCATAGAAACCCGCTGCAGAATCAGGCTCTGGTAAAAAGGCAGCGCTATTGAAATTGAATTTGGATTATCCAGCGTGAAATTCTCCAGACTGGAGAGACTCGAATATTTTTCTGAAGTTGGCGTGTGTGCATGTCCTGCAGGGGAAAGAAGCAAAGCCAGAATTTCACACTGCTATCTGAAATGGTTTCAGAGATGTTATAAATGTGAGTTGTCACCAATGTTTTTGTCTTCAAAGGCATCCTTTGAAGCTATTTAAACTGTCTCTCTGCAGATGCACTGCATATCATCATATTTTGAGTGTGAAATCTCTTCACCTGTCCATATAACTTTTTCTTCACTTTTTTTGACCTCCTAAGATAAAATTTCATCTGTGGAAGGTATCCTGATTTCAAAACTGATATAGGCATTTAATAAAACTTATCATTCCTCAATGTCAAATGTCATTACTGTGTTGTTAAGATAATCAGAATAGCCACTGCCAGAAGTATTCATAGTTAGATGTTGGAATTGACAAGGAAATCAATGGCATGTGTATCAAAAAGTTGTGTGTGTGTGTGTGTGTGTGTGTGTGTATGTATGTATATATGTGTGTGTGTGTGTGTGTGTGTGTGTGTGTGTGTGTGTGTGTGTGTATATATATACACACACACAGTGAGGAAAATAAGTATTTGAACACCCTGCTGTTTTGCAAGTTCTCCCACTTAGAAATCAGGGAGGGGTCTAAAATTGTCATGGTAGGTGCATGTCCACTGTAAGAGACACAATCTAAAAAAAAAATATCCAGAAATCACAATGTATTATTTTTTAACTATTTATTTGTATGATACAGCTGCAAATAAGTATTTGAACACCTGTCTATCAGCTAGAATTCTGACTCTCAAAGACCTGTTAGTCTGCCTTCAAAATGTCCACCTCCACTGCATTAATTGTCCTAAATTAGATGCACCTGTTTGAGGTCGTTAGCTGCATAAAGACACCTGTCCACCCCATACAATCAGTAAGAATCCAACTACTAACATGGCCAAGATCAAAGAGCTGTCCAAAGACACTAGAGACAAAATTGTACACCTCCACAAGGCTGGAAAGGGCTACGGGGAAATTGCCAAGCAGTTTGGTGAAAAAAGGTCTACTGTTGGAGCAATCATTAGAAAATGGAAGAAGCTAAACATGACTGTCAGTCTCCCTCGGACTGGGGCTCCATGCAAGATCTCACCTCGTGGGGTCTCAATGATCCTAAGAAAGGTGAGAAATCAGCCCAGAACTACACGGGAGGAGCTGGTCAATGACCTGAAGAGCTGGGACCACCGTTTCCGAGGTTACTGTTGGTAATACACTAAGACGTCATTTCAAAATCGCATGGCACGGAAGGTTCCCCTGCTTAAACCAGCACATGTCAAGGCCCGTCTTCAGTTTGCCAATGACCATTTGGATGATCCAGAGGAGTCATGGAAGAAAGTCATGTGGTCAGATGAGACCAAAATAGAACTTTTTGGTCATAATTCCACTAACCGTGTTTGGAGGAAGAAGAATGATGAGTACCATCCCAAGAACACCATCCCTACTGTGAAGCATGGGGGTGGTAGCATCATGCTTTGGGGGTGTTTTTCTGCACATGGGACAGGGCGACTGCACTGTATTAAGGAGAGGATGACCGGGGTCATGTATTGCGAGATTTTGGGGAACAACCTCCTTCCCTCAGTTAGAGCATTGAAGATGGGTCGAGGCGGGTCTTCCAACATGACAATGACCCGAAGCACACAGCCAGGATAACCAAGGAGTGGCTCTGTAGAAGCATATCAAGGTTCTGGCGTGGCCTAGCCAGTCTCCAGACCTAAACCCAATAGAGAATCTTTGGAGGGAGCTCAAACTCCGTGTTTCTCAGCGACAGCCCAGAAACGTGACTGATCTAGAGAAGATCTGTGTGGAGGAGTGGGCCAAAATCCCTCCTGCAGTGTGTGCAAACCTGGTGAAAAACTACAGGAAACGTTTGACCGCTGTAATTGCAAACAAAGGCTACTGTACCAAATATTAACATTGATTTTCTCAGGTGTTCAAATACTTTTTTGCAGATGTATCATACAAATAAATAGTTAAAAAATCATACATTGTCATTTCTGGATTTTATTTTTCGATTATGTCTCTCACAGTGGACATGCACCTACGATGACAATTTCAGACCCCTCCCTGATTTCTAAGTGGGAGAACTTGCAAAATAGCAGGGTGTTCAAATACTTAGTTTCCTCACTGTGTGTGTGTGTGTGTGTGTGTATATATATGTGTGTGTGTATAATTATATTTGCCATATATATATATATATGCCAAACTGAACATGCAGGTCAAATTAATGTTTGGATTTAAGAGTATTGGCTAGGATTCGCTACAGCTTACTGTTGTTGGCAAAAGTGTGAAATGTCATAAGATGTGCTAAAATCCTCCATTTTTAGTTGTCATTTTATCTCAAAATGCAGTAGCTGCTTTATGTGTTCACAGTTTTCAGTGCCTCTGTGATGTGTGAAAAAAAAATCAAGAAAACGTTCTGTTCTAAATGTGAAAAAGTAAGAAGTAATACACAGAAGGAGAAAAGATCGAGAGAAGGTTCAAAGTTATCTGTCCAGATAGCAACATCTCATTGTATATCTTGAGCCCTTTTGGATGATATAAATATTTTTTTGCTTGCTTATTGTGAAATTAAGCATTTTATTGAAGTGTTTGCCTGCAGTAAGGCAGTCCAGAGGTGGGCCACCGCTCTGTTCATATCATAAAATCTATTATGATTTTATGAAATTAAACATTAACCTTTAGGGAAAAGAGAATAGGAGCAATTTTACACAGCAAATGCCTTTTATATTGAATAAGTACAGGACAATTTGGCACTGTTTTTCTTTGTTAATATTTATTCCATCCCTTACTGTAAAGTCTAAGTGGTCCCTTGTTAAATCTTAACCAGAACTTACCAGAATGAAGTAGTCAAAGTTTTACCATGTCCTAAAAAAGATCACATCAGTGAAGTTGACTGAGCAAGTTGGAGTAAAACATGTATAATGTGAGTTGCTATCTTCCTCAGTGTGGCGGCTCACAGTCAACAGAATCTGATGACCGTGGCCAACCTGGGTGTGGTGTTTGGCCCCACATTAATGCGACCACAGGAGGAGACTGTCGCTGCCATCATGGATCTTAAGTTCCAGAACATTGTGGTGGAGATCCTCATTGAACAACATGAAAAGGTAACACTCGGGGGGGGGGGGGGGTTGCCAGACGTGCATTGCCGTATCGACAGTACTATCACAAAGTAATACACTTGAAACTGAACACTCTGAAAGCTGGAGGTGTCTACTCATAACACTATATCTTCCAGTAGAAGTAATTAGTACCATTCTTTCTATTGTATTATGTTCTGTTTTCTCCCAAAATGTCTGTTTTTGATTGGTCAAAGTCTCTACTGCACTGACTGTATGATTCATTTTGTCAGAGATGTTGTGTATAATTGTGTTTCCACTTGCCATCCAGAACCATATTTACTAAAAGCTAAGCACCCCAGGCAACACAAGGTACAATCATAGCACCAGTGAAATCTGAATCAGGTGGCATGACATCAGTAAGCTGCACATAGCACCTTTGTGTTTACCAACCTGGGTGGCGTGTAATTACTTGATACTGAAGGATAATAAATGTGCAAGCGAAGCAAAAGATCTGATGTTTGTCCTGGTTTCTTGGTACTGCGCGTTTTCTTACTATTGTTTTGACGTTTTGTATTTGGCAGTTTCTGTTGGCAGAGGAGTGAACATGCTGTACTGTACTTGACACCAGGATTTCATTTGGGTAGAGTGAGAATGTCAATTAGGGTGGATGTGATGCTCCTCTCTTCTCCTCTGTAGGTCCTGTTTGTTAAGGATGTTTAGACTTCCACCTTGAAGTCTGTTTCCTTGAGAAAGGTTTTAGCAATAAAAATGCATCATATTAAATAATGGGTACTTTGGTCTGTTTGGGTATATGCATATTGTATTTATTGCTTGCTCTACAAAATGATGAGCATAAATAAAGTTCTCAGTTAACGAGACATGTACCGACTTAAACCCTTGGGACAGCATACGCTTCACCCTCTTATTATTAATGTACAGAGGTGTTAGACAGCAGTTTAATATCAATAGTTGTTTTAATCTGGCCAATAGGGGGAGCCCTAAGTGCTTATACAGGATTAAACAAATGGGATTCAGTGCCTTTTCAGTAGGTTTATTATTCTGTAGATTGTCATATATATTTGATTATATCTGGAAGGTCGTTTGCCTGCCTAAATACATTTATTTTGGTTGTTGTTGTTTCATAACCTGTAGTTCATGTTGATCATGTAATCTCCCCAGAATGTCATTAATCAGTGTCAATCCTCAAAGGGGGATAATTGTCTGTGTCAAAGGAGAAAAAGGTTTGAGATTAGTTTTCTAATCTGTTTGGAACAGCACTGCACTCTGCATAGAATCAGATGAAACCAGGGGCTTTTAGTGACACCCTCCCCTCCCAGCTTCATTAAATGGAAGATGATGTGTGTTGTGAGTAATGGCTCCCCCCAAGCACGCAATCTAAAATGGGGTGTGAGCGAATACAGAGGCCTGGTGAAAACCAAGGGGGTATACAAATGTGCTAAAACAACACCAGCAGCACTGCTAGTCTCTGAGACTACTGAGAGGTATCCAACACCGTCCGGGTGATAAAGGATGTAGTGTTAGAATGCAGCAAGAGCATTTTGGAAAGTACAGCGTGTTAGAGCAGGGGAAAAGTTGAGCAGACAGACAGACAGGCATTAACTTCCCTCACAGCTTAGTCCCACTCCAGACTGTTGATACCCCCAGATACCAACAGTAGACTCTGTTTTACATTCACCTCCATCTGCGGAGGGAGGCGAGAGGGAGAGAGGGAGGCAGCAGAAACTCTCAGCCATATCAGATTTCTCACTTTTTCTATCTGCCTTTCTCCTACAAACTTTCTCTCTCATGCCCCCTCCTCTGTGTCTACCTCTCCTGTTCACACTCTGTCTCACTTTCTCTGCCACTTTCTCTATCTCTCCTCCCTTCCCTACCTCCCTCCTCTCCTGCCTCTCTGTGATCCTTTCTGAGGCTCTGCTGAGAGTTCCTCTCCTCTGCAGCCCCATTCTCTTTTAACTCTACATCTGAAGTTTATATGTAAACACGGCCCAGTGTAAACAGGCTGTGCCAGTTGGCCAGCCCCTATTTATTTTACTCTCCACTCTTTCAGAGATTGGGTCAATTTCTCTGAGGAGAAATGTCACCTTAACTCAGACCCACACATTTCTGGAGGAGATGTGATTGCGTTACGTGTGGAGCTGCTCTTGTTTATTTTGGCACAAACAAAATCTTCTCACATGCAGTTTTTAGGGTCCAGTCAATGAGCTGCTCTGCTTTCCCTGGGAGCACATGCTGTGGCTGCAAATGGCCTTTTCCATTCATCTACCACTTTATAAAGCCTTTCAAAACCTGTTTACTAAGTGAGGTCAGTTGAGGACATGCTGCTTCTGCTACTGTTCAAACAGCCTCTGAGCATCTGCACTGTGACTTTTGTCTTGGTAGAGACTTATTCACATTGTGTATTCAGATCTTTGCAGATGCTCCCGAGTCATGCCCTCTTTCACCTGCTGCCCCAGTATTCTCTGCTACCACAAGGCCGTCCAAGAAGCTGAATCGACAGAATCGGCCCCTGGCTGTCTACAATCCACAAGCCCTTGATATTCAGAATGGTAAGAGACATACACACATGCACCTGTGAATACATTAGAGGAACTGAGTATACATTATAACATCATACAGAATTAGAATAACTATACAAACCTCAGCAGTAGGATTTTTGTTCTCTAGAAACTAGATTGGTCCTCTCTTTTTAGATTTAAACCAACTTAGTGATCCGGACAGTATGCAACTAACATATTCATTCATTTGTGGAGCCCAACAGGTAAATTTTATTTGATAATTTGATAATAGATATCTATTCTTGAAAAATTAATGTGCACAAATGAACAGAACATAAATGCTGTATTATCCTGTAATGTATGTATAAGAAATATTCAATAACAACGTTATCCGGTAATCAGCGTGCATTGCCTTTTTTTTTGCTTCATTATTTTATCCTGAGATTGTGTTCCTGTTAGCTGATTCTTGTTGGGTTTTGTTTTGTTTCACCCTGATCACTTATCAGTGAGTGACATATCCACCCAACATATGCCATTTTCAGTCAGTATTTTCAGGAGCAGTTAGCATAAAGTTTTTCATGAAGATGAAAGAAATGTGTGGATTTAAGAGTTATTTCTGAGTCAATTTGAAGAACCTATTTTTAATGGATGTAGCTAGGAAACTGGAGAGTTATAAAGTTAGCTAGCTAGCTACAGTGTCAACCTAGTTTGTCTTGAACCGGGCAATAAAGATATTCCCTTATCTCAGTCTAATATCAAAACAAAACTGTATACAACTTAATTGTATTAAGCTAAATTTAAATTAAATTTGTCCATTACTTGACAACTTTGAGTGTTTCTTTTGAATCATGTGTATTGCCATCTGCAAGTTGATACATTTTAGATCACAAAAAAGAAACCATTGTGCACTAATTGTCAAAATACACTCCGTTGCCGCATATCAGTGAGCTAAGACTAAATAACAGAAATAGGGCTGAACGATGAATCGTTTTCAAATCGAAATTGCAATTTGAAAGAACGCAATTAGCTAATCGTGAAGATGGTGATTAAAATGTAGTGTATGTAATGAATTATACAGCGCATCTGACCCGTTTTAACCAGTCATGAAGTCACAAATTCATTCCGTTGTCATCCTTGTTTGACAGACCTGCTCACCAATCACAAGCGTCATGCGCCTCCTGTTATGGTCCTACTCACCAATCAGAGTGAGCACAGGGCGAGTACATTTTACAACAACTAACGAAACTAGAGGAAAACTTGGGATAATGGTCAAACAGACACAGGCAGCAGCTGTGCCCGGGGTTTTGTCTGGTGTCAACTCACACTGAAGTTTTTCAGCTGCGGAACGTTTCGCTTACATGTTGTTAACTTGTCATTTTGTGTCATCTCAAAAAGATTATACAGTTGAATCAACACTTCTCTAAAAAATATAATCTTAATGAAGGTTGGACTGTTGTATTAGACTACATTACTGTAGTTTTAGCTAGGCGTACCTAATAAACTGGCAACTGCGTGTTTTACCGCTGATTCCTTGCTGGGCTCATGGTTAGTCTACAGATGACACACTGAACTCAGTCGCCTCCTCTCTGTAATACTCCGTGTTGGGATTTGCATTTGTGACTGTGCGTGCCCTTGTTTACTTTTAAATGCCTGAAATTTACTTCAGTTTCCTCTTGACACTTGCTGAAATGTGAGACAATGATAGACCTGTGCATCAGGTGAGCTGGTCACCTGACCTGGTGACCCAAACAGTCCAACTCCTTAAATGTCTAATCTGGAGCCACTCTAATCCCTTCCCCATCCACAATGCAAAGTAAATCTAAATCTGCTTACCAGATTGCCTCTCTTTACCTCCCTCACACTAGCTTTTACCATGGGATATTTTAATATCAGGGATGAAAGGCGTAATCCTTTTTTAACCTTTGTATCTCTTAAATCGTACCACGTAATAGTTTTAAAGTAAGTTTTCTCCACATACAGTGGGTAAAAGCAAATTTAAGCACGATGAAGTAAGAAAGAATAAACCGTGTTTATGTATGCGTGTGAGTCTTCTTGTGACACTGCTTGTGACTGATATACCTGCAGATGTGACAGCATACCATGTGTAGGGAAGAGCATTAATCAGAGTGTGTCAGGAAGCCTTTTTACAGGTACAGTATAGGAGTGCAGTGCAGGGAAATCATAGCTTTTAGTAGAGGATTTCAGATCAGTTGTATATTGTTAATCTACTTAAACCTGCAGTCCAGCAGAAAGAAGCTGTGAACTCAACATTGACATATCATCATCTTTTAAGTTAATATTGGGAACTTGTAGGCAAACAGTTGCTTATTTACACATCCGGCAGTTACAGAGCAATATGATCATTGTTGGACCTGTGTCGCGTGGTGAATGTAAGTCCAATAATCACTCTCTTTTACGTCTGTTTTTGGTCTCTACCAACACCTGAGGCAAGTACCTGGCTCTTGCGCTGCTCCATGCACTGTGTTAACCAGCTAGTCACTAACAGTTGCTATCTGCTACTTGGTGCTAAGCAGTAGTGTACAGTGGCCTATTAGACAATTTTAGCAGAAAATGGCTGCCTGCTACGGTTGAAAACAACTTTGAGAGTGAAACAAACCAGTGAAGTTAAAAGCCCAACAAGTAGCTGAAACTCACCATAAAGCTTCTTAAAACCAAGGGAAGTGGCATGATCATTTTCTGTATGTTCTTCACAATGAGCGACACCTGTGACTTTTCCAGAAAGAGCTACAAAGTCAATCAAAAGATTCATAGAGTTAAATACAACCATTATGGCTGTCTCCCCCAAGTCTCCTGTTGTACCTGCAAGGGTGCGACCAATTACACCTTTATCATTCTTATTGGTTAATAATTCCCAACATAGCTCCACCCACATTCAGCATGAGTGACGTCTAATTAATCATGACTGAGAACACCCGTGTGGGTGTGCAGGGTATCCCATTAAGGTAAAATAAAGATAAAATTTAATAAAGAAACTGTTACAACTCAATACATAAGACCAACAATTCTGTGGTTGCATGCATGGTCAATGTAGAATGTATTATTATTGTTCAAATATTTGGTAATAATTAGGCCCAGCACCAATTAAACATTAATTTAATATGGGCTTTTAGTTTTAGTGATTTGATACGTGTTTGCTAGGGGGGAATAAAAAGAAATGCTCTACCTTTAACTACCTACCTTTTTAGCACATTAACAGTTGTTTCTGTGCCTCTCCCATCTCTCCAAATGTTTACCTGACAGTAAAATTGAAATAAAATAGCTTGGATCTCCCTTGTGTTTCTGTAGGTTCCTGTCTGTGACTGCAGAAATGTATTATTATGAACAATGCAAACATGGTTGTAAGTCTTGCCTGTTTTGACAGCAGTTTGATTTTTAAAGTCTCGTGTTGGTGCAGCATTGCCTTATGTATTGATAAATTATTCAGCTGTTTTATCAAGCAAGCTATCATCAGTAAACTGGAATAGGCTGAATATTTTACAGTAGAATAAAATTAATGAAAATCTGTGATTAAAACAAACGCTGTATTTTTTTATTTTTTCCCATCTAAGTGTCAGCAGTGGGCGATAGTTCCAGCCTAGCTACAGATGAGACATCAATGGGCAGCAATGAGTCTGTATCATCCCAGTCATCTTCAGCGTCGGCCTCAGAGACATCTACAGAGAGGAGCGACCATGCCCCACTTAACACCACGCTCTGTTCAGGCAGCAACTCCAAGTGAGTGGTTCACTATGCTTCACTCCCAAATCAATATGTGACTGTGCACCACTGAAAATGCAGGTAGTGAAGCAAGTAGATCCACAGTAAACAAAGTGATAAATGAGTCTACATGGTTTACATTCAAATGTGGACTGTATACACTGTATGGATTGCTAAGATTGTAACTGAATGTTCTGATCACTATTTTGGCTTCCACAGTTAAAGTTGCTCAGATGCTATCTTGACGCTTCATGCTTAGACTTATTTCTCTGCATTAAGTCTAAATGATCATTAGTGTTTTATATGAGCTTGTTGTAATTGACTGGTCTCTGCTTCCAAAACACAGTCGTTATCTTCATAATCAGACTGATTTGCCATCTCATTACTTCATTCATGACCATATCGGAGATGTGGGCGGCAATTCATAGGTTTGGAACCAAGCTACACAGTTATAACTTCAAGCAAGAGCACTTTCACTACGCAGGCTAACTACAAGTATAATGCAAAGCCATTTTATTTTTGTAGGGATCAATACATGTGGTTGCATTCTGGAGTAGCATTATTGCCATTATTTATCATTATTGTGATTATATAAGTAGTAATGGTAAGTATTTATTATTAAGTATTACTTAAGTATTATTAGTACTCTTATTAGTGTTATTAGGGGATGTTAGGGGTAAGAATCTTTAATTCAGAATGAAGTAGTGTTTATTATTTTGTAATTCATTTGTAACAAAGTGTTAAAATCTGTCAGGATTATGCTGATCATCCTAAACTGCCAGTATCATATTGCAGCAGAATAAAATGATGACTAAATCCTTCCTATATTAACATGCAGCACACTCCAATAAGAGCCTGAAGATGGGCCGCGCTCAGATTGCAGGCCTAAGTGTCCCAAATCAGATTTTTTTGCTTGTATGTGACTCAGATCAGATTATTTTTAGTGCTGGGCAACAAATAAAATTTTTAATTGCGATTAATTGCATGATTTCTTGCGAGTAATCACGATTAATAGCATTTTTACGCGCAAAATTGAATAATAAATTCTAAAGTAGTGTGTTGCGCACTTGTAATTTAAATGTACTGCTATATACACAAAAGTGCAATACCATGTGGTTTGCAAACACTTTAAACAAATAATGTGCTTTTTACCAGCAGTATTCCCTTTACATAGCAGCAATAAAATATTACCTATACCTATAACCTAAACATTAATGTAATCAAATCAAATATTAAACCAAAGCTATTTGCCACTGCCAGGGCATTACCTTTTATCTAGCCTGTTAAAACAAGTTACCAACAGAGTCAAGTTTTCTTATTTATTTATTTTTCTGAACAGGTATTAGCCCGTGCCCCATGGTTTGACTGTATGTGTATTCAGAGCCAGTGAGCAACGGACTTTCAAAATAATAAAAAAAAAATTTAAAACTGTGTTAACGTGCGATAAAATAATTGTCGGCGTTAATTAATAAATGCGTTATAACCACTTAACGTGCCCAGCCCGAAGTTTTTATAACAGTGTCCACTGGCAAAGTCACATGGAATCTGACCTTTTTAAGTTTGGATTTGAGACACTTTGGCTACGTTCAGACTGCAAGCCAGTGTGACCCAAATTTTTTTTGCCCATATGTGACTTTATATATGTGACTGATCTGAACTTTCTATGAAAGTGTGAACAGGCCAAGTCACATGGAATCTGATCTTTTCCAGTTTGGAATTGGGCCACTTCCATATGCAGTCCAAATCCGATTCATAGTGAGTTGTAGGGCAGTTGTGAAAGAGAAAGTTGTGAACACTTGTCATAATTCGGGAGAAATGTGACCCGTAAGAGGACAATAAAAAACCGTGAGTCTCCCGTGAGCTAACCGGAGCAAACCTCTGTTGCTCCTTGTTTACTTCTGTAGCCTGCAACAGCGTGCTGCGTGTCAGATCTGGGGGGAAAAAATTGGAATTGAGCATTAAGGCCTGCAGTCTGAACGTAGCCTTTCATATGAGGTCCAAATCAGATACAGATGGGAATTTTTTTGAAATGCTACTTAAGCCTGGACAGTCAGATTCATGCGACTCTGTAGTCACAATTCTGCACTAGTGGGAGCGGAGGTGAACGCCAACATGGAGGACAGCAGCAATGGAGATAGTCAGTGGACTCTTTTTCTCCTCAGCCTCGTTCACATTGTCATTTGCTCACGAATTCTATTTCTTCCACCCTAAATCAACTTAAAAATAAAATTGTAGACGCTAACCTCTGAGGCCTCATTGTTTACTTCCATAAGACAGCGTGCTTCGTGAGACATATTATTTTTTTGCACATGCGGGTCACTTGCAGGCCGTGAATTCACACTGGAGTCTGCTATGGGCCACATTTAAAAAATAATCTGAACAGTCGGTCAAAAGATTCGGATGTAGTCGGAATTAAGCAGTAAGGCCTGCAGTGTGAATGTAGCTATAATGGCTCAATCTTCTTGCCTCTTCCCCATGAGATTATTAAATAGGTAGTACATCTTGCAATACATTTGTACTCTGATATAGCATCACAGTTGCAGTTACACTTATCTGTACTGTGGTTGCGACACAGGTCTGTATTTTCCACTCTCGTAAAAAGAGTATTTTGCAAGCAGATACTATGTCATTAGTAATAACAAACAATATTAGATTTTTGAACATTGTGAACTGACTCTAAATTTTTATGTGACAATGTGCACTCGTAGCTGGCATTAGTAATTTTTTTTACGTCCTATACACTAAATAAGTTATGAGTTAATCAAAAATGAAACGATAGATTAATCGATAATGCATTTTTCTCGTCGGCCACGTTATTAGTCAAACGTCAACTGTTTGTACTTTTCTTTCTGTCTTTTGTCCTAGTAGTAGATGGTAAAAGCTTCAATAGTTGGTTGCTTTGCCTCTCTCTTGCTCTTCCTCTCTGTCCTCACTCTCTCTACTAAGTCCTTGGTCCTTTTTGTTGTTTCCAGCGCCTGTCTTGTCTTGAATGCTGATGTGAGAGATGAATTATTGGGTTATGCTGCAGATGTTAGACTCTTTGCTGTGTCATGTCTACAGATTCACCTTGAAATAGACTTTTTTTTTTTCATTCACTGTCCCTTTCTCCTTCTCCATCAGCTGAAAAGAGAGCTGTAAAATAAACACAAATCCACCTCACAACTTGACAGAGGACAATGTGATTCCTCTCTCACTTTGACCTCAGTGGGTGGGTGTGTGTGTGTGTGTGTGTGTGTGTGTGTGTGTGTAGGCATGTTCGTATCAAGTGTTTTCTCTAAGTTGCTGGATTAGACAGACAAGGCTCTATATTACTTATGTAACCAACTCCTTTTTTCCCCCCGTGGCTATTTTATTTTGTGCTTTCCCACATATGTGGCATCATGTTGGAGGACGGAAGGAGCAACCAGGAGGAGGTCGTAAATCTCAGCTCTTATTTGTTTGGGAGACAGGTGGCCGAGCGTTGGCCGTGTAAATCGTATTGACATTGGGGAGATATTCATCTTGTTTACCCTTATAGCCGCAGCCCCTGTCCCTTTATGAAGACTTGCGCCATATGTCACAGGGTGTCGCCCTGGCTTTGTTCACTCATAAATCTTAGCATGTGAGATGGTGGAGACCTGTTAGCACAGCGCCTCTCTGGCCTGGAAACCAGGGATTCGGCTTCAGTCCTAGCCAAAAAGAGCAGTAGGGATCTCAATTGGTAGATTACTTTCATCCACTCTCAGAAATGTATTATCTGCACTCTGGTGTGCTCAAACGTGCACCTGGAAAACAGCATATTTTCGTCGGCTTTCTGCAAGAAAGCTGCAGCAAAATCTGCCTGGTCATACACAAATGCATCATGACTCACTATATCATGCAATAAGTCTTTTGTGGACTGTGGCATGATTTATCATCTCCTTCATTTTCTCTGTCTTCCCTCATTTCTCCTCTTCTCCTTAAATTTCAGTCACAGCTTTTCCCAGTTGTACTGTTGCCCCAAGTCCTGCCCATTGAGTTTTGTTATTTGGCTGCTTTTCCTTTTCCTCTTCCCTATCCTACCTCCAGCCCTCCATGCCTCTTGCTGGCAGACAGCTGTGGATCATAAAATGGTGGATCAGAGCTTATTTCCTGCCCACCCAAACTGGCGGTGGCTGAGCGGGCAGCTTGGCTGGAGGTTTGATCCCACTTTCTAATAGAAACAGTACAAAATCCCACCGCTGCCCTTCCTCCTTTAGTAGAAAGACAGTTGATAGCCCTGCTCATCCCCGTGTTAGCTCCACGCCAGGATCAACGAGGCCTGGATGCTGCAGGGTGAAATTCCTGCAGTAATGAGAAACAGCAGTCCACTTCTGTTGATGAATTTTTCCCTGCTACATGTGATGATGTGATAACCCTGATGGTTAAAATAATAAACTAAAAGAGCCCCTAATGCAGTTCACTTTGGAATTTGATCTTTGCATTGTTTGTTACTTTTGATCTCATGATGCTTTTCATGTATAATAGAATGACTCCTGGATATTGTGATATGTATGCCTATAAAAATTCTTAAAATTTAACATTCTTAAAAAATTGTTATGAATATTACCTACATCTGGAGAGGGATTTTTATGAGAGCCTCACATACAGTGTATTTTCACACGAGTCCCCATTTACTGTATTTAATCATGTTTACAGAAGAAGCTTAGCTAGGCCTGTGATGAGTAAAAACAACGGATGAGCAATTCAAAGCTTGATGCTATTTTTGTTGAAGAGAAATGGCAAACGATTTCCCTCGCTTTGGCTTAGCTATAATTGTGAAAGCAATTTTGGGATGAATCCATTTACCTCTGGTGCATTTAACAAGTTTCTAGGGCAGTCATGTAGCATTCACTGATTCCCCCCAACTGTTTATTCTATAATTATTTAGATATCTGTTCATTTTAAAGATCTTCACTGATCTGTATAATCCTCTTCCAAGTGAAATAAGCAGTTAGATATGTTAACTTTTCTTAAACATGTGTGTGCATGCATTTTCTGTTTTTAATTTTATCGCATTTAGCGGTTTTGTGTGTATCTGACTGGGTTCACCTGCAGGTGGGTGAAGTGTTGGTGCTCCTCTGCTCTCCCTTCTCTTGGCTGTGACCCAGGCAGACAGTGGTTGTGCTTGGGCCCAGGTTAATGAATGGATTTGCTGCACTGCAGCGCGCTATCCCCCCATGCTGATGTGGAGCAGCTGAGCACCACAGTGGCCGCACACTGCTGCAGAGCTATAAATCACCCACAGTCAGGCCAGGCCCAAACAGAACAGCCACCGCTGGGGATGGACAAGCGCACAGAGAGGGAGGCAGGGCAAGAAATGGAGGGAGGAAGCGTTGCAGAGGAGGGAATGAATTCGTGAGCCCAGTACCGTGTGTTCACCTCCACCTATGTCCACATAAGATCCCCAACCACGTTCCCACCTTAAGGCTGTCTTGCTCTCTCTTCCACCAGTGGCAATGTAACCACTATTCACAATATCCTCTCAACCTCCAGCCCCTCCCCAGCTGCTCCCTCTAATTGCCTTTATTAACGTCTCTATGGGAGCGGCAGCTAGGAGCAATTTGCTCATTATGTACTGTATTAGCACTGGCCCTGGGGCAGGCATGGAACACAGAGGGATGCCTGGCTTAGACTCCTGCTCTCCTCTGCTCCACTGTGTCTTTACCCGGACCCCTATGTCCATCCTGTAGGTCGGCCATAGACTCGTTGGCCCTGATACCAGCCAGTGTAAAGCACAGCTACTACTGTAACAGATAAAGCTGACGGTAAAAGTGTATGGTCGGAGTGTTATTGTTTGACTTTACACATAAAGAAGTAAAACATTACTGTAGGCATTGAATGTGTATGCATGGTTGACAAATTAAAGGAAACATCAACATAAAGTGGGCCATAAGCCTCCAGAACAGCTTCAGCGCACCTTGGCGTAGATTCTACAAAACTCTGAAACCTATTTTTCCAAGACATTCCCTCATTTTGTGTTTTGTTGATAACTGGGGAGAGCGTCGTATAGTAGGATTGTTGTTCATTCTTTGGACGTCACTCTACACACAGGTTTGAATTCCAATTTCACTTTTGGCTGTTCTCTGAACAGAAAAGCAAACACCTGGCCCATGTATGAATATTCCTCCAGAATACAAACATTATGTTTAATTCATGAGTGTTTGCGTCTCTCATTCTGAATCCTCTCCATTGGCATTTTTACAGACGCAGTCAAGCCAGATGATTTTAGACTGAGAGTTTGTTATTAATCAGGTCGGTTTACTTTAGAAAAGTTGAGAATCAGTCCAGGTCAGATTTTAGCCGGTTAATCTTAATGTTACTCGTTGGCTTGAGTTATGGAGCGCAAGAAGTTTCAGAACTACGACACAGAAGGTCAAATAAATCTCTTTTGTAATTTCAGAGTGTATCAAAGCTGCTCTTGATGCTTAGCTTTCAGGTTAATATGGACTACTGTTGAGAGTCGGTCCTTTTGAAGAGGCTTTTTGGCAGATGGACTGGAATGGATTATTTAATTTATGGAAGCCTGCCGGGATAAATGTACAGCCTGCACACAATGAGAATTCAAAGTGCGAGTCCCCGTGTATGTAGCTGCTGTACAGTACGATGAAACAATTTTAATGTATGATTCAAATTTAAAAATGTAACTTCAACTTCAAAATGATTGTAATTATTATAAATGATTACCCTGCTGCATGTTGATATTTTATCATTGCTTATGACTTCAGTAGACCCAAGTTTGCAATGATTGTGGAATTATTTGACTTGACTCCCCATGACATGAATGTCCCGTCCAAGTGAAAGAACATCCTGAGTGCGCTAGTTAAAATTATGGTTGTGGATGCTGTCAAAATGAACCACTGACAAAGCTACACACCATTGAAATTTGTTTTAATTCATACCCCCGCAAGGTTCTGGACAGGAAATTTATTCTCACCTTGTCTCCATAACAACAGGGTGCTCAGTTTAGCTCACCTGTTGCTATCTTTCCACCGCTTACAGTAGTTGCTACCAATTCTGAACAATTAAACAATGTATAAAAGTACAGCTTCTGTTGGTCGTGGTGAATGTCTTCTCCACTTGGCTGAAAAACCACCAGGTCCATCTTTTTTTTAACATGAGACAGCATTCTTACTGCCTATTGTGTGATTTTCTTCACAGTATGTTTTTTTGTTTGTTTTTCTACAGGGCCCCCATAGCAGGAGCCTCATGGTCCACTCCTGGAGCGCCAGGAGAGAGCCAACCTGCTGCCACCACGGCTTCTTCTGAAAAAGAAAATCCAGGGGAGAGGTAAGACAGGGTTCCCTCTCTTTGGAACCTTTGCCTGTTTTCCTCGCAACTGGATTTTTATAATTTCAGTTGACTACTTTTTTCCTGCCTTCATTTCTGTTTCGTTAAGTCATTTTCACACTCACATACTGGTTAAATGTCACACCCTGAGATTCCTTCACTCTCTCAGTTTTCACACACTTGCTCCATTACTCGCTTGCTCGTCTTATCTTGCATGTTCACTCAAGAGAATCACCAACTCTTTCGCTCGTGTAACATCTACTTGCAGTCTTGCACATAAATATTTTCCCTGGCTTTCTCATATATTCACCAGCCCTTAATTTAGTTTACCTTTGCAGTAAGGCAGCACAAGGATTGGCTATAGCAGGGGCAGCAACCTTTTCCCCTTTCTGTCGAAACCCCAGATACACACAGTATCTGAGCGAACCGGGTGGGACTGTGTAGACTGCACATTCTGCCCATTACACTCCTCTATTGCTCTGCTTCCTTGAGAATAAATGATGAATTCATTTTCAGTGCTTTCAGATGTTTACCAAGGAAATTGCAAACAGTCTCGGTCATTCTATGGGCAATCCATTAATGTTATTTTCATATAAATACAAATCCTCGTTTTTACCAAATGCGGTTCCACGAGAGTGCATTATTCCAAAAGTCTGAATTCAAGAACTCTGCTGAACATTGTTGTATTGACAACTCTGTGACCACAAACTTTTTTCAGTTTGTATATCTTCTTTCTCCTCTCTCATCCTACATTGTTGCTGCTCTGCAGAAAGAATATGAAATATTTATCAGGGCATCGTGTGTTGAAGGCACAACTTCTACATGGTAATGTTGCTGGCATTCGAGATAACGGTTTGCAATGGTGAGCAAAACAACCTTTCTGTGGAAACAGTTTTTATGTTTTCGTGAACGCAATGGCATAAATAAGGCTTTTTACTAACCTTTGCAGAGCGATGAATATAGTTTCTTTGATGGCGCACTTTTACATCAAACTGATTTAAAATGCGGCTTCTAAGCTCACAAATATGAATTTAAAAGCTGAAGCACGACGGAAGGAGATTTCTGTTCTACCTCTGTTTGTGTGCAAACCTACTTTAGATTCCCCTCGCCACTTTTTAATTATCTCACCATAGATGGTTGTCTGCTGTGCGGACCTGATGTGTGCCTGCCTTTTCGGCTATACAAAACCTGCTACAAAGAGCTCTGCATCTCATTGTTTGGGCACGAACATGGGTGCATGTGGGTGTGTTTTCACTCGCTCACGAGTCTGTCTAGACTGGAGATAGGGCAAGACAAGAGTGTGTAGTGGCCCGGCTCCTCTCTTGGTACTTTTGCTTATTTTCCAGCCTGGTCCATTTCTGCTGTTTCGGGCTAGTGAGTGAATGAACAAGTAGGCCTCAGGCCCAGATTGAACTGTGCGGTAATCCTCCCCAAAGCTCCGCCAGCTCACTGATTGCCTTCATTTTTCAGTGTCACCAGCAGGAAAGCCATGGCAGTGTACCCATGTGAGGCTGAGCACGACTCAGAGCTCTCCTTCCAGGTCGGTGCAATATTCAACGCCGGTAAGTGTTATCGCCTACACCAGTCGCTCACTCAGAACCAGCCCTGGCATATTGGATTTGGAGGAAAACCGAACACCCAATCTGATCTTCAATCGAACAGAGAGATGAGACGAGAGGGAGAGGGGGGAGGCAGGAGACACAGATTTGCTCTTCCTGTCTGGAAGAGGCTCGACTGAGCTTTAATCACTCTCAGAGGAAATGAGGATTTTGTAGTTTCTATAGTACTATTTTTTTTGTCAAAACCGTCTTTTGTGAGGCACAGACACTGTAGATGCACTATAGTCTTTACAGGGTAACATGTTGTGATGTCTTTGACAAGATCACACAGTGAATTGCAGTTTATTGGTTGTTATGGTTGGGTATAATGTAATCAAAGTTTTTTTCTTTGTACTGAAAAGGTGAGCCCACATCTTTTTTTCGACATTGTTGGCCTCCACTGTTCCACTTTAGATTTAAGCAAACCGTCTCCCATCGAAGATATAATAATCTAAAGTTATGATCTAAACATCAAAATCTGACCGCTTCCATTAAAATATGGATTCAGCGACTGAAACCTCACCTCAGTCACATTCTTATATACTATATTCATGCTTATATACTATACTTGTGTGAAATCTTTCCTGTTTTGATGCGTGTACATTAAAGCCATCAGTGTGTCATTGTTGGTCGAGTTCATGTCCGGACAAAAGCCTACAATAATAAACAAAAAATTACACACAGTCACATTTTCATTAACTAAATGAAATTATGTTCTAGAGCTCTTGTTCTGAAATTTCATTTGAAGCTTAACGGTTTTGTTAGTAAAAGTATTGCTGAATGATGATGTGTTTCTTTTGGATCTCACCTTAAATGTCCAGTTACCTCGATAGAAAGTTTGGGGAGTTTCAGTGTAGTTCATTGTAGTGTAGTAATCAGGCTTCAAATGAAGTGATTGACATGTTACATGAATGTTACACGATGAGGTTCTGATTAACTAAACATCTACAGTACCTTGAGGACCCTTGGCATTTTAAATAGTTTGCCGCACTATTCAGTTTTTTCTAAATGTATGTGTGATTTTGTTGTCAGAGCTATGTGCATAACAAATGTGCAAAAGGTCAGGAGGTCTGAATACATGAGCAAGCCACTGTGCATACAGTTGCTCTAAAGAAAAATTCAGTCACATGTTGTTTCCTCACTCTTAAAACTGGAAGGACAACTTTGCCTTGCTTATTTATTTTCTTAAAGGCTCAATCTGTAATCACTTGACTGTGTCGATTTTAAGGTGTGTTCACTGACCTGATTGAGTTATAAAACTATATATACATGAACAAATTTTATTCTGCAGTTTTAATATGTACAGGGAAAAGCAAACAAGTATGGAAAAACGGGTAATAATGTAGATAAAGTTTATCCTTCTATCTAAAAATGCGCATAGGATTTATTATGATTTGACTCATTAATAAAAAATATAAAAACTACATTTGGGGATAAAAACTCACTGTTAAAATAATGCCACAGCAGAAGGGTTTGGAATTGCAAGTTTGTTATTGTACTCTGCACATGTACAGATAGGGGCAGGGGTTAAGATACAAGTTTTATTTTTATGTATTTTATTTAATTTGTTTTAATGAGAACAAACTGATCAAAAAACATCAGAAAACCTTAATAATGCAGAATTGTTTTCTTCGGGCGTCCTTGTATTAGAAGACATGGCTGTCAATTTGGGAGTAAAAGCTGGGTCAAATCCTGTACTTTGAATTTTGGTGGCGGGTTGACTCTTATTTTAGTTTTGTATGAAAGATTGGGCTTTGAAGTTCCTTGCCCATTCTGTCTTGAATAGACACACGAGCACTGCCGGACTTGTAAACACATTTCTTTCTCTAAATTTTAAATTGGCTCACTTTGTAGACAAATCGAGAATCCTGGGAGGATTTCGAGAAGGCATGCCACAAAAATGTTCTGTGCTCTGACACATCTGTCATACTAAACAGTTTGTGAGAGCTCCGTTTTTCAGCTGAGATTAAGCTGAACAATAGAGATAAAAATGAACCACAGTAGATTTTAGTGTACCCGCATCATTACTGTATCCTCTTCAGACCTTTGCTCTGTTCTTTCTGACTCATGCACATACTGTATACTCGCTGGAGGCTCTTTGTCCTCTGTCTGTCCCCCACACTCACCCTCCCTGTGGTGCTGTCCCCACGGTGACGCTGTGTCCTCTCCTGCAGTGACCCTGTCGAGAGAGCCGGGCTGGCTGGAGGGCGAGCTGGAAGGAAAGAGGGGCCTCATCCCTGAAAACTATGTGGAGATGCTGTAGCCCCAAATGAAAAAAATTTCCAACAGGAAAAATATGCAAAGATGGATGTGCCTCAACTCTGACATTCACAGTAGAGCCTTGTTTATCCAAATCCCTGAATTCTGTCAAGCAGGTGACAATATGTTTGATGCATGTGCAAGCATGAATTTACTTTGGTCAGAAATCCACATGACTTTCAGCGTTGTAATGAGTTTGCACTTATATTCTGCTGTTCACAAAGATGCTGTAGCTTCTAAACATGCAGGTAGCTTTGTTAGCAGCAGCACCAGAGAACGAGCGCCTCTCGGTTAAAGGCCTCACTCTCTCCCCCAGTTATACATGGTATCCATGAGCTCCCAAGTCAAAGAACGGTCCTCAGAAGGTGTAGGGATCAAGGAAGGTCAGAACTCAAATCACTGTAGTCCATTTTCGTTAAGATGTCCTGCAGCTTTAGACCGTCTTGACAATGACGCACAGCTGGTTTTCAGCTTTTAAAAGATTAGAGACACTGTCCCGATCATGCCTTAACCTTCAGAACACCCAGTGTAAATGTATGTACGGGTAATGTGAAAATGATTTGGCAAGTTACTGCTTTACCTTTTAAAATGTTGCATATTTCATCCATTTTAAGAATATTTGGATATTCAAAATAAGGCACATGACTATTGTAACTTTATTTTATTTAATTGGCACAATGATTGCATGACTTTTGAATTTTAAATACACTCTGTGCTGTTATGTTGTTAATGCACTCCACAGAAACGCAGTTAAACGCCTCTTTGATGCATGATTGAACTTCTTGTGTTTAACACTAGCATCAGACCAAGTCAGCAAGGTAACTTTAAATAGTTAATGATTGAAACCAAGTGTTGTCCCTGTCAAATTATCTGTTCTGTTTGTTTTTGAAGTGTATTTTTAACGCTGTTCAGTTTTCCTCTGAGCAGAGAAATGAGACACTGCCACAAAGTTGAAATTTTAGTTTATCGTTATTTTAACTTTCAACTTCAGTGGAATAAGTGATTAGAAATCAAAGCTTTTTATCAATAAGACTAAAGAATGCAGTATTTCAAAGTTTTACATCCATTCAACGTATAATTATTGAAAGAGCTATGACTGCCAAGTATGTTTTACAAGTCTCTGTTAAGTGATGGACAGGTTTGAAGTTTTTGGTTTTAGCATGTACACACATGTCCTATTACAATTCATCCCTCAGCTGTTCAACAAGACACTCTAATTTGTCTGAGAGCTTTGGTCCAGCAGACTGTGTTTTCAATTGCAATAATTTAAGACACTGATTTATGACGTTTGTAAAGGGCCTTGACTTCTTTCATTTTTATACCTTTGGGTATCTTCTTGATCAATGTTAAACAAATAAAGATTTTTTTGCTCTTTACAGTATTATGTATTCTTGCCATGAGATAAATGTGATGAATGATAATTTAGAATTTAACATATTGAAGTCTTATTGAAGGTTGTTGTTTTTTTTAGAATTTCAAGTTTAGTTTAAGCAAACATATCTTGTATAATCATTTATAATATATACAGTAAGACATTTGTTTTCCAAAATAAGACTGACATGTTAATAGATCGGTTTTATTTTGGAAAACAAATGGACCAAAGGAAATTAAAGAAATCACTGTAGCCACTTTCACTGTTGACTGAGAGTTATAGTAAGTGTCAGGAAATGTGTCTGGTTTTACCAATGTGAAATCTAGTGCTATGTCTGAAAAAAAAAAATTTTCATGACTCATCTATTGTGTCACTGAAAAGGCCCACAGTTTCCTAGAGTCTGAGGATAAAGTGAGTGGTGAAATGAGAATTCATTCTGCAGCCAGTACTGTTACAATGAGCCATGTAGTGTAATGTAACCCTTCCTCTTTATATTGACCTGCACTGGTCCATCTGACTAAAAGCAACTTCCAAAATAACTTTCCAAAAGGGGATTAAAAATAGATGGTAATCTTTCACAGAGGCAAACACACTAATCCACCTCCCCGATCCATTAACATCAGAGCCTCACGCATGTTAATTCTTAGACTACATCTGTGTAATTAACACACCAAATGGCCTCCAGACCCGGTGCTTTGGCCTCAGTTTCATAATTACCATCAGTCCACCACCACACTTAGACTTCCAGTTGGTGGGCTGATGCACTATTTAAAAGTATAAACACACATGCGCTGTCCATTTTGAAAATACCAGAGGTTGGAGCTGTGGTTTCAGTGCAACACATATGTCCACCAGCTCCCCGGAGCAACTACAGACGCCATGATTACATAATGAAATGAGGCTGAGCTAATGAGATGGGCAAAAGTTCCCCCCACCACCACCACCCACCCCCGGGGCCCTTCATCATCATCTTCCCTCTGCCAGAATACTGCTGAATCATAGAGACATCCACCCTGCCGCCTCTCACTCTGCTTTGGACTGTCTGTCAGAAAGCGTGCCATATTGCTCTTTCTCCCTGCCTTTCTCATTTTTCTTCTGCCTACCTGTCTGTGTCTCAGGAGTATTTAAAACTCCTCGCTGTCTCTCTCCTTCTTGCCTTCCGTCTTTTCCCCCTTCCGCTCCACAGTCAGTGCTCCACTTCTTTTTCGGGTGCTCTGATAGTAATTTGTTTATGAAATCAGTTCATCTTCACGCATTTATTTTTCCTTTCCTCCTAAATTTGGGAATATGACTCATTGAACTGGGGTGTAATCAGACTCATATTTGAGACCTTTGAGCTGCCTTAATATATGTTGAGATTGAGTTTGAGTTACCTGTGGTGATTTCTGTCTGCATGCATTATGCATCAGTGTCTATCAGTCTGGGATGATGTATACATCAGTGTGACCGTGCTGAAGTTGGTGTGTTTGAGTAAAAATCCAAATGGACGTTTTCATTTCTCGTTTCCCAGACTCCTGGCTGTGTGCCAGATGTCCTCTGCCTCCCATGACGCAGTGTCCTTCAGCCCTTAAAACGTAGTCCCACACCATGACTCAGCTTAGATCAAAGCCTACAGCAGGTTACATCTAACTATGAGAGAATGGCACAACTAAGTGCCACAAATGTGTCTGAATTTCCTATATGTGCACGTCTGGAAGTAACACTGACTTAATACATTCCTGTGTTTTCTCAGGTTCCTTCAGAGTGCAAAGCTTCTGAAATGTAATCATCATAAGACTCGATGGATTATTGGGGGTGAAAACTGAGTGGGAATTTGGAGAAAAGTGAAATTCAAACATAAAGGAGAGAGTGTGGAGGGGGTGGGGAGAGAACCCTCAGCTCAGAGAGTGGGCCACAGAAGCCGCCATGTGCGCGGGCGCAGCCGTGAAATCAGCCTGATCCAATAGATTCTGTTTATCTGGCACGACTACAAGTGAAAGCAATTGGAAATCTGGGGGAGATTTGGAGAGGGCTGTGGATTCGGAGAGAGAGAAAAAGAAAATGAGCAAAAAAAGTAATACTGTCTGCTCTACAGTCTGGCAAAGCAGGCGTGTTTTCAGATCAGCCTTTAACAAGGTTAATGGTGATTTTTCTCCACAGGCACCGTTTTACTGTAAAAGTGTAATCCTTGCACGCTTTATCTCTGTCATTTCACTCTCTTCTTTTTCCGTTTGTCTTTGTTCTCTTCATCTCCTCTCCCTGTGACTGCTGTACCTGCTGCTGCTCCACATCATTTCTGTTTTTCTATGCTAACTCTATGTTTTTTGGCTCATTATCCTCCCTAGCCACCAAATGCAGCTGTTTCGAATTCATCCAGATCAAACAGCACATTTTTTTAGGGTACGTTTCCTAGCTTCTGTCTCATGGTACAATTTTCATAACACACACATACAGACCATACAAGCATACACAAACAGAAAACTTAGATCACATCAACTTATCAGTTTAACAGTTTTATTAGAATCTTGCAATAGTTTTGCAAACACAAATATGGCAATATCTGCATCAAGATATACAGTAGTAACTGGTTTCAAAGATTTTATTGGTTTATGTTGAAGGATGTCTACTGTATGTTTGCTGGATAGTTGCTGAGAAATATTGTACAAAGCATCTGAGTAGAAAGTCATTTTTGGAATTGGAAAAAAAAGCATTTGTATATATTTATATATTAATAAGAAATGCACTGCCATGGCTGTGGAGATATGGCTTAGTCTCTCTACACCCGATTCATCGCCGTGAACAGAAAATGCCAATGACGTGACTCCACATACAGTGACGCGATAGTGTACTGTGGAACAGCAGTTGAACACATTCTGAGTCATTCATGCCTAAAAGGAGTTCATTTAGATGGAGACAGCTTTTAAGATAACGTTTCTCCTCCACTAGGGGAAAGGTTTTTTTTGTGTGTGTTTTGTTTGCAGTAGGGGGTGATTGATGGCCAATAAACAGACACTTCATAAATTTTGTTTCTTTAAAGGAATAGTTTGACATTTATATGCTTTCTTATTGAGGGTTAGATTAGAAGATTGATACCACTCTTGTCTGTAAGGGAAATATGAAGCTACAGCCAAGTGAAGGTTAGCTTAACTTAGCATAAAGACTGGAAACAGAGGGAAACCGCTAGCTTCGATCTGTCCAAAGGTAAAAAAAAAAAAATCTGCTTACCCACACCTGTATATATCATTACTTAATTAACAAGTCTTTATAGGTTTTCCTATAAATTAAACCAACAAGTTACAGTACATGTTCTGTATTGAGCTTCAGAGGTGATGATATGTGGATTAAACCTTCTGACGTTCGGACAGAGCCAGCCTAGCTGATTCCCCCTTTTTCCAGTCTTTATGCTAAGCTAAGCTAAGAGTCTCCTGGCTGTAGCTTCCTATTTACCATACAGACATGAGAGTGGTATCAAACTTGTCATCTAACTCTTGGCAAGAAAAGGAATAAGGGTATTTCCCTAACTATTCCTTGAAAAAAATGAAATTGCCAACAGTCAAAGCCTACATTTCTGGAGGGCAAAAGGGTCTTTAAAGGTACTATGTGGAATTTTCAAAAACTCCTTTTTATTTATGACACCGGTGGCCTGCAGTCAGCATTCTGTTGCTCGCATCTCATTTTTCTAAACTAATTCTTGTCTTACTTGTGGATCTGATAAGCAGTAGGCCTATATTAATCTAATTCAGTGCCCCATATTGCTATTTTCAAGCTACTGTAGCTATCATGGGTGGGTGTCAGTCAGTTTGTTGATGTTAGCGGACTCCACTTCTAAGCTAATGTTAATTAGTGTTGCACACTGTTGCTGCTGATGGGGAGGTCAAGAGAGGCAAGGCACTCGGGAGCACGCATGAACATCACATCCTCTGGATTTTCCGGGCAAAACTGTCCCGAGTCCTTTACATAGAAATCAGTCCATACTCAGCCAAGAAAGTCAGGGAAGGTTTTTAAGTTACGTTACAATCTGTTCACACATTGGCAACACAAAGTGATTAATACATGTTAGTTGCTTCACATAGTACCTTTAAGGGGCTTGATCACATCATTGGTAAGTGTTGTCATTATCAGGGATCTACTGTGTATAGAGACCTTTTTCTCTGTAGATCTTTTTTAATTTTTTACATTGCCATTCTTTGGCCGAATTTGTTTCTTTTAAGATTGAAATTTGGCAGTGCTATATGTCCAGTAAATAACTGGTCAAAACGGTCAAATTTGAATTGGCTAAACTTCAGGTCTACATTCTCTTCTACAGTTTCTATTTTAAAACTGAAAAGTCAAGAACTGTTTTTCATGTATCCCATTTTTCAATAGTTTATGATTTTTTTGATTTTATTGTGGTGCTCATCAACAATACCGCCATGGGCTAGGAAATTATTTCAACAGAAACAACTCAAGGATCCATCACTTGATACATCTTGTTACAAAATAAGAAATACTTTTTGATAATTATAATTTTTTGTTTGAGCCACTTGAACAATGATGCAAAAAGTAAAAAAAAAAAAAAAAAGATGCAAAATCAAATAACTTTACTTAATATGAAGATAATAAATGTACTCTCCTCTCTCTAACATTCAGGTAGTAAGTTCCATAAGTCTCTCACAATGTATGATACATTCATTTCTCTATTTGGCCCTTTCTGGCGCTGTAAATTCTTCTCTGTGATCCAACACACAGAACATGGCGAGTGGGAAACACACATTTTTCCAATATTCCAACAAGATGGTTAAAGTAGAAATGTTTTATACTATACTCAACATAAGGACTTGCTGTATTATTTACAATATATACTGTAAAATTGTAAATCAGGTGAGATAAAAAGGCACAAGTTTCCCTTTTTTAAATACAATGTAAACATCTCATCAAAAAGCATGCATTAACATTTCATTTTACAAAAAGGATATCATTTTTAGACAAAGTACTTAAATATTGTTTTCCAGCAAAATATAATTCTCTCAAAAATACTTTCCCATTCATCCTGTGAACCTTTAGACAGTTTTTTATTCCGTAAAAAGGGGCAAAATAAAGAAACAGTGAGAGATTAGCTTAAGGGTCCTTCACAACTTCAACACAATAATACACAACAAAGACGGATTGTAAAATGAGGCCTTTCTGACAAGGGACTGTACGAAAATTAGTGGGCAGGGGCGAGGGACTGAATCTTATATTTTCTTTCATAAATAAGAAGGACCCTACACATCAATATTATTATTTTCTTTGGGCCCTCTCCCCAATAACTCAAAATCATATATTTATGGCAAACAACAAAATAGTGACCATACAGCCAGTGTTGATTTTTGAAGAAAATAGCTCCTAAAGTCTTAGGTCTTTAATAGCCACTGAAAGACAGGATCAGGACCATGCGCCGTGTGTGTTAATGCTGACAGAGAAAGCTATAATTCTGGGCTGGGAAGAAGTTGAAACACTCTTCCCTGGTCTCCCAACAAATATAGACTACCCTCCCTTGAGCAAAAATTAAAAATACATAAGCTCCCCCCCGCCCCGGATAATTTTCATACAGTCCCTAATGACCCTTGTAATCTTGCCACCTCCGTCTCTTTGTACACAAATCTTGACACAATTACCACCACAGAAGAGACCTCATGGTGCAGCACAGCACCATCATTATCATAGCAGAGGCCACAAATATAGTTTACCACCACCCTGCTGTGCCAGTGATGTCATGTTTTCTAACTTTAGGCCAGGTGACCATGCAGAAAGTAGTTTCCTGCATCATCACAGTTGCTGATCAAAACAGACAAATTCCTGCTAGCTGCACTAATGCCTCATTTCACATTGTATCTCTTCTGTGCAAATCTAAATGTGGAAATAGGATACGGCTAATCCTATAACATAAATGCATAATACCCACGCTGAAAGAGCAGATCAACTATGCACATGCTTGCCAGGAAAGAAAAAACACACACACAAACTTAAGCCATACTCGCTTCATTCACACATGTAAATACACACTCACAGGGCACAAAAAAATTTAAAAATAATAATTACACGCCCCCACTGTTTTCTTCCACAGCGGTTCTATCGCTTTTCAGTAGCATCATAGTAGTGTTCTATAACCACCCAGAAACCAGTGGGGTGTGAGACAAGTTAATGGTCCAGATGACTGGGCCTGCCATACCTAAAATAGTAGTACTTGGCCCAAAGATAAGAGAGAGGAAATAAACTAATTGGGAAAAGTGATCATACCAACAGTTCTTTATCAAGCATTCATCAACACGTACCTCAAAACATCATCTGTACAACAGCTGAATAGAATGTGTTTAAGAAGTTGTTAATACCTGTACACATTTGCCTGGTTTTGATACATTAGCCATTTGCTGTAAGCAATGTATAGTAATGCTCCATTTTGGATTATATCAACTTTACAGAGTATGTGTGTTTAAACTGTGCGTCCATATAGTGTATTGTATGGACTGTCTACGAGTTACTGTACACGTTATGTTTTGCCTGGCTTTGTAGAAATGAAGCACCTTAATGTAAAATGACTGGCTTGTCAAAAACTAAACCTTTGCAACACACTTTTATAAAATGCTTTTTATTATTTCTGGGAAGAGTAGATAAGTGTTGGTTCACAAAGGGCTGGTTTTGCTTCATTGTGAGTAAAAACAGACATTTGGACAGCTGCTCTGGAGATAACACAAAACACAATTACTATGGATGCACCTCAGTCAAATCCATTACTTGCGGACTCCACTGAAATTATTTCCGTAAATGCATGATGTTTTCCATCCTGCAGCACTCCTGACCATTTCTGCACAAAGGTAAAATCGCTCATCAATATTGTCTTAATTCTACACCACAATGCCTGAAACAGTGACTTTATGACATGGTAGCTTCACGTGCAAGCTTTCTTTACACAAGAGAGACATTTTTATTTCAAAACAGCTTTAGCTTTGGACTTTTGCATATTAGTTTTGATTGTTTTATTACATATCTTAATTAAAAAACTCAGTATGTGAATGTTAATGATGGCTGTTATGACACCGATTGAGATTCAAACTTGGACTTGTTAGATTTAATGTAATTATTCAGCTTATGATGACGCTTGTATAGCCCTTGGAATATATTCAAATAGACATTTCGCCTTACAGTCTAGAATTTCTGTGCCTCCTCATAATATCCTTTGCCCTGTAGTCTTGCAGTATATGTTGCTACACTGCAAAGCAAAATCTAGTATTGGCATTTTTTTTCATAGTGCTATTATTTTGAAAGACTGCATAAGCCACAGTTAATATTTGCTAAAACATTTTCTCTAGATTTGTAAGGGAATCTAATTTTACTGCATGTGGAGTGCATCTGTGCGTTTGTGTGAAGGCATGTGAACAGCATGTGTGTAAATTTCCCTCTACGTGTGTTTGTGTGGGTGTGTGTGCGCACAATGAATGTATCTAGCGCATCCTAAGAAATGTATGGCTTTATCTCCATAGAAAACACTGTTATTGTCTTTGGGGCAGGGTGGGGTTGGGGGTACATCAGGATACTTTGTCACATTTGTCTCAAGTCCTTCTCGGCGTGTCACGCTCGGCTCAGCGTACTATTCACAGCTCTGACCTGCTCGTGGTGACTGCAGGGTCAAATCATTCTCCCCTTTTTACTTCTGTCACCACGTCACCTAACTTTCCCATCCAAGACGAGGACGCTGGCATACTGGGCGACAGGGTGCAGGCCAACTGATCAGGCCTTCCTCGCACGTGTTCTTCTTCTCTTCCAGTTCTTAATGCTGCTTCTATCTCAGCTGTTGAGTGAGTCACTTCTTGTGGAAGTAGATTGTGTGAGTGAGGCCTGACTCCACCTTTGGTATCTGGTCACTGATGATCTCCACCAACATTTCGGGGAATTCTACCTTCAGGGCCTGGGACTCACGGAAGGTGTAAAAACAGAAGTCCAACAGGTTCCCCACCAGCTGGACAACAAAGACACAGAATTTAATGAGAAACATAAATGATATTGCTCTTTTCATGGTTGACGATAAGGATTTTTCTTGTTTTAATAGGATAATATTATTTATATGTAAACTTTTTTTTTAATGTGAGAATTTAAGTACACTACTTTATAGTCATGAGAGTGAGTGTACATTCTGTTGGGGCACTGACCCCTTATCAGATCTTTTTGGCTCACCACTTGGGGGCACCGCTGAGTTTTTTTTCTGGACAGCCCTCCTTTAAAGGGTCAATGACCCCATTCACTCATTGGGGTCATTGAATAGTGGACATTTATTTCTGTGACCTCTCGCTTGTTGACTTTCACTTCTTGGGGCTTTGCCTACACTGTCATTATGCCACATGCTGGTTGACCCATGCATTTTAAAAGAGAGCGGTGATTTAGCACATTTGCTACAGTGACCACTGTGTACTCTGATCCAGCAAACTGTGATCTGGCATTGATCCCCTTCTGTTCCATTCACCAATACAGGCTGGTCACCGCTTCTTCCAAAATAACCTCCCCCTTGGGATGCAATAATCCTTATTCCAAGTCACAACACCGTTTAACAGATAAGTAAATGCATTATCCAAATCCACTATGCTGCCATTTTACTCAGAACATGCTTCAGTGATATTAGAGATCCAAAGTGCCACTGGCCCCCTCGTGCCGTGTGTGAAGGCATGGCATACCAAGAGGCTGCCAAGGGAAGCCTGTGCTGTACTGTAGGCAATTGGCATGGCAGGCAAAAAGGGCGGGGGTACTTACATCATGCATGGCGTCCAGTAGCTTGGTGAGCTGGAAGAAGCGCTGCCAGGTTTGGCCGGAGTTGTTGGTTGCTTTTCCCACTGAACGCCGGAGCTCCTTAATATAATTAACCCTCATCTCCTCGAATGCCGCCTGGTTCTTCAGACCCTCTTTGGGAACTGGGAAACAGACAAATCCTTCCGTCATCAAATGGATTTAATAATTGGTCAACAATACAGGTTTAATGTTGTTGACCCAAAACATGGATTTCAACTGATATGAGATTTATAGATATTATATTATAAAAGATAACAGCATTTTTTGCATGTTTTGCATACTTCATGTTACTGCTGAACATTTTCAAAACCTTTTGGATTGACTGATCAATCTTTATAGACTGGAAGCCTGAAATCCATTACAATGAACATTTAGTTGACTGTAGGGTTTGGCGGTAGGACCATTTATACTGTGAGATGAAATACATTTATCAACCATCAGATATTTTGCCATGCCATTTATAACAAGATGGTTATCACTTTAATATTTCTGATTGTACTAGGCCTTTGTGGGAAATGTTGTAAATTAATGAGCTTGACTATTCTCGGCAATATTGGATTTTTATATTAATTTGTGTCAACGTGATGAAGTAGTTTGATTTGTCAGGTATGTAATTCACTGTATTAGCCAAAAAAGACATTCACATCTGGTTACAGCATCCATCAACAGTTCTTTAATTGATTTTGGTTTAATATCCTAACATAAATCAATATCACAATTAAAAATTTACTATACTGTGATAAAGGATCTATACTGCCCACTCCTAGTTGGCTGTTGTGTTTAGATTAAGTATGAATATTGATGTGTGTTAATGCAGTTAAAAGCGGGGTCTGTTGACTATTTTGACATCTCTGACTTGATGGTGAATTCAATAAAACTCTTTGGATCCAAAAGCATTTCATTTATTAGCGATGTTGTCAGGATATCAAACCTGGAGGACAAATAATAAGCAAACATGCTGTAGATGTACTAAAAATGGCATTATTATTATTTTTGGTCTTGGGTCTCAGACAATTCTGATGGTTTATCTATCTCAAGCAAGTTTATGGCTCTTTGAGTTGATTTTCCTACCATATTGAATGATGAGTGAAAATAGCTACCTGGACCCAAAATTAATGGTCCACTTTAGAAAATGTTTGGCAGATGCACATTAAACACTGTTCGCAGTTAATGGTCTAAGCCATGCACAACAACCCGGTATGTTCCTTTAATGTAGAAATGTGTAATTGTGTAAAGGGTAATTAGAGGTGATCAGTGAATTACCCTCCGACTCCCACACAGAAGCCTTTTTTTGGACATTTTTCCTGTGTTGACGACCTGAGCCTATTTAGCAACTCATTACAACCACTTTCACCATTTCAAGAGGTAATTAGTGTTCATGCGTAGCCACTGATTCATGAAAGACGACTGATATACTGGAAGGCATTGATTAAAAGTTAGCAACGGTGACAACAAAAAAGGGAACAACAGTGCTTATGTGAATCCAAGAGCTTAATCATTTTGTCAACCAAACCTCATTCATCAAGCAGTTTGTTCAATGACCAGAGCTGTTAAATGACTGCAATCTTCATTCACATTATAATGGTGGCATAAATGCACTTAAAATAAAAGGAAGCGTAATGGGAGATGGAGGAGGAATGAGATACAGTAACTGCACCATGAGGATGCATCAAAATGTCTACAATATCTTTTTCTCTCACTCTTTCTCCCTCCCTGTGCAGGAAAACAAAGTCACAGATATGGAAGTCTGCCAAAGTTTTTAAATGACATTCAGCTGCTGGCTACCAGATTAAGAAACACCTCACCTCTCAAAGAGCGCACCTCAAATCAGTCTGAGGGAACTCTTCAGTTGCCCTTCAGCCAAGACTAAGATATGACGATATATATGGCCTAATGTGAGTTTGTTGGAGATTTTTGCCATACCCTTCATACCAAGGTAGCCATGCCATTTTAGGTAATGCTGCAAATCAATGAGTAGCACTGCTTTATGGCAGTAGGATTTTTGCATCAATTTAAAGTACAGCATTGCTTTGTCAGGTATTTGATTAGCTGGATTAGCCAGTAGACATTCATTTCTGGCTATTTACCCATAAACACTTTCTTAGTTTTTCTAGAAATGTTGCTGTATCACAATATAACATTACATATAACATGAAGATGTTATCCATATCCCTCTCTCCTACTCCAGTGTTAATAATTATCCAGGTATAAAATAGATATAGATTCTATAATTACTAAAAGTAATTAGTATTTTTATGTGGAACAGGGCTGCAATTTATGATTATTATCAGAATCATTATGTTTTCTGTTCTTTATTTTCTCTATTAATCACATCAGAATCAGAGACAGCTATAACAAGTAGTTTTTACACATACAAGGAATTTGCTTTAGTGACTAGGTGCGTAGCAATAGACATAAACTTTCATATATAAAATATATGAAATAAACAAATTATACAAGTTATAAAATAATTGTAGAGATTGTGTGCAATATGGTAGTTCTTTACATGTGCAAACATTTACAGTATACTGTAAAAGGAAGGAGGAGGGGGACATGAGAGTCAGTGTAAGAGGGGGCCCCAGGCCAGCTGCAAATGGTTTGTAATCACATAAAATAAAGAAATTGCAAAAGGCTCACATTTGAGAAGGTGGACCAAGGTGTTACTGTGATAGCATTTTTTGCCTTAAAAAATTATTTCAACTATTAAATGATTATCTAAATAGTTGGCATTCATTTTGTGTCCAGTCGCTAAGTTACCGATCGCTGCATCTCTAATTTGAACAACACTGAGAGAATGTGATATCTCATTCAGCAGTATGGTTCACCTCTGAAAAGTCATTCATGTTTCATCAGTGAAGAAGAAGAATCTCCTAATCATATGTAACAGCTATGGAAAACTAATGGCCATCACCAAAGGCACAGACTCCTCTGCGTTCCTAGCATGGCAAAACATGTCGAGAAGAGAGGATGGTGATGAATGAATGTCTTATAGATTTTTTTGTGTTTTTGAAAACGTACGTACAAAAATATCTTTCATTTAATGATTAAATGACATCCCTTTACAAACTAAATCATGTACTGTCTTACGTACTTTTGAGTAGCTAGAATGCCTCATGCGCCTAAACCACTTGTAGCAACACTAGCAAAAACCAGAAACTGACAGGACCTGTTTGAGTTCTGCAGAATGAATAGCCGCAAGCAAAATGCCTACTTCTTGTCATTCAGGATTACAGATAACTTGTAGGTCAATAACTAAGAATGTGTGTGTTTGTCTGCCTTCCCCTCGTCCTCTCTTTCTCTTGTCTCTTTCTATGTAATTCTCTTCATCCTACTTTGATGCACAATCACCTTCAAGCATGACATACTGTCCATGAGGGTGAGCAGAGCAGATAGGAGAACAAATTGGACTCTGGTGCAGAGGCTGTGATTTCAGTGCTTTATTTCTTGGCTTGACATGATGAGAATGTGCTAAAACCCAGGGCTGCATTTGGATCTTGTGTTTTTCTCCCACTGACCCACATACGACCTGATTAGAAACTGACCTGGCATTTAGGGGCATTACCATGACCGGCCCCAAAAATAGGGCATTTATACCACCGTAATTGGTGTCAAATAGATTTTCACTGCAGGTATAGATCGTTTTCAACTAGGCCATATTTCTTATTGGGAGTGCAGCTGCATTATTATGTGTACCACAAACCTGGGAAAGCTCTTTTTCTAATGTACATAACATAAAGAGGCAAACATAACTCATGCAGCTAGAAGATGCCATTAGCCTGTGTGTTGTTCAATGACATGCGGCTTCCTGCTCTGGGTTACTGGTACACACCTAACTAAGTTTAGATTTAATACTATATTTGATACACTTCATTGGGGAGTTCCACAACTAGCCCCGAGCATAACTACAGTAACAACTTAATAGAGCTTGAGGGTGTTGTCAAACAGGACATTTTATTTTAAACATGACCCAAAAACACTGACTGGTTCGAATGAAAATGATCACAGCATTTATTGTTAAGTAATGCTAAGCAATTATCAGTCTTTTGCATAATTAACTGTAAAATGTGTCACACGAAACGCACCCATCACCACAGTAAACGTACTGTACACTTGACCAATCTGGAATGAGGCTGAAAAACCTATATGGGGAAAAGTAAGAAGACAGTTTGGTAAGAGAACAAATAAATGAGATAATCTAGCGATAAAATCTACGTCTGTGCAGAGGTGAGGAGTGTAACTGGTTTGAGCAGGCCACTGGTCCTGTACCAAATTCAAACAGGGTCATGAGACACCGCAGGCTCAATGAAACCTTAGCCAAGGTCAGAGAGTAATAACAGCCTTTCTCTCTTTTCCCTTCTTTCCTCTTTCTCTATCACTCGTTCACCCTCTCTCTATGTAACACACACAATTTTTCAAACCAGCCCAAAGGCGCACACACACGCTCAGTGAGTCCGTAGTACTTGTTCAACTGACAAGTTCTGACAACTCCTCTGTAAACATCTCTGCTGCTACTCCGTCCACAACACCCGAGTATTTACCTCTGAAAATCCAGAGATTTTTTTAAAATTTATTCACAAGTGCTTTTGCTGAAACAGGTACAGGAATTTTGCTGCTGCACAGCAGTAACAAAGCACTGGATGATTATTTTCATCCCCTATCCTCATAGTTTACCGCTATATTTTGACTAAATCCTACAACCAGAGCAGATTGAAGCACCTTCAATTCCCTGTTTCAATCCTGTATCCTGGCTACTTTTATCTGCAGTCTCTCCTTCGAAATTCCAGCCCGCGTTTGAAGGAAGTGAGGAAAAATAGCAGGTCTTGGAGCATTGCCTGGTGCTTGACTGGCCTTTATTAAGTACAGCAGGGCTCTCTGGAAAACCTCCAGAGGACCAGCAAGGAGAAGAGAGGGAGGCCACAGCAACAGAAGGACCAGCTCTGCCAACCCCCCTCCACCCCTTCTCTTTCTTTCTCCCTATAGCTATGCACCTGTCTCTTTCTCACAAACACAAGTTCTCACTGTCAACATTTGTCTGATTTCACTCTTTAAATCTCCCTTATCCCTCTTGGTTTCTCATCCTCTCTGTATTCTCTCTCTTCCTCGTTTCACCCAACATCCAATAGCTGAAGTCCAGCCGGAGCTCCCCTGCTTCCAGATGACTCAACAACACTGAGTTTATATCAGGGAGCTGCGTTTCCTCTTCCATATGTCAATGTACTATGAAGCCAAACCAACCTTATACTAATGGCCTGACAAAGGGTTTTTACTTTTCTCTACAAGTACTGCACAAAAAGCAAACTGTTTTGAATTTTCTGTTTTTTAATGATCACAACTTTCCAATCATCAAAAAAATTATTTATTTTTATGGTTTGGAAACTGCAAAACTAAATTCCAGCACAGTTGGACTGCAGTTTCCATACTTTGAAAAAGAAATGTATTCGAAGTCTGATCTATTTTTTTTAACTGTATTGCAAAAATGGATTAGAATTAGGGCTAAGCTAGCAGGCCAGGTATAAATTTCTACAAGACCGTATAGGGCTTTAACATTCATACTAAACATCATTTGTTGATAACAATTAAACAGGAACTATGTTGGGTATCAAATTATTTTTTTCTGCCAAAAAAATGTTTCAATCATACATAATTAGCCAGTGAAGTCACTGAAATATCTGCTACATTGTCTGAGCAGTTTGACCTTTCAATTGCTTGTTATATTAATGATACAGAATTATAACCTTCTACAGTTGCACAGTCATTATGACTCCATTGGATAATGGTGTCAGTCAACAGGCCAAAATGTAAATCTTAAATGGAAGAAGTTGATGCTCGGATGAAGTGAAATATATCAAGGTTGTGCTTTGCCCATCTTAGTCCAGCATTCACACACCACTTTCAGAGGCCTCAGAAACTGAAAACTAAATACTCTGCCAATGAATATTTCCACTGATTGGCGCTGGTGCTGAAGTTCAAAGAGTTTGAAGTCTGGCCAGCATGCACACTCTTCAAATAGCTCGGCACAACTCTCTCTCACCTCCCTTATCGTTACCTCGCTCTCTCTCCCCCTCCCTCTCTCTCTAGCTATCGAACATCTATCGACACACACAAAAAAAACACACAGATGAGGCCCCACGTAGACGCATGCATAAATACAAGAGGTCAGCAGGTATACAGCCGGTCCCGTGTTCCACTGTGAGTGGGTGTGGACGATTATGACACATCTGCCATCACGGAAGTTTTTAACTGTTACTATTGAACTGAAAAACTGCTTTCAGTTTCCAACTGAGTAACTTGGTCCAACACATCCTCTCTGTTCAGCTGCAGTGCCTTTGGGCGCAGTTTGGCAGAGCAGCAACTCGGTGAGACCTTCTTTAGTGAGTGACTTATTCTTTTTATCCATGGGCACTTAAAAAAAATAATTATATATATATATAAAACAGAGTAGCCTTCACTCAGAATTGAAAATGGAAGAGACTGCTCCCCTTCCCATTTGCATATACTGTATGTTGCTACACAGACAGGTGCATGCAACCTCAAGTCTATTTCCACACTTGTTATGCATGCTAAGGGATTACCAAAAATGATAATGATAACAGACTTTGAGGCATGATCATGGGTGCCAGGTACAGGCTCAAAGGTGTGTGGTGGATGGAACAGAACACAAGGCACCTTATCAATATGTTTCCTATGTGAGAGATAGTCTTTTGGTTGAGGAATGTGGGAGACGTTGGATGGCTCAGGCCATAACACTCCACTGTATGGCAGATAACACAATACAGTTGTGAGGAACAAGTGCTAATTTGGGAACACACAAAGCATGGCACCTTTGCCTGCATGTGATGTAAGAACAGACACCTCTCCTGTTCAACCACAGATTATCAGTGGACTAAAAACAGCGCAGTTGATTCTGATGAATCCTGCTTCCAAATGCACCGACATAATGGTTGAGTCAAGGTGCAGCATAAACAACACTTCTTGTGATTTATGCACAGGTTTGAGTCCCATTAAAATGGTAAAAAAACTGGGTCGATGAATGCATCACATCAGACTCACCATTCATGGGCAATGTGTTATCATCCCAACTGAACACCTTTGGGATGACTTTGAATGCAGCATCTGAAGAAAGGTGCATCCACCTCTCAGTGATGTTGCATGGTCAGCTTTAACTGGGACACTACAGTTCAGTCATTGCCATGAAATGTGGCAGCTGCCATCAGGCACAAAGATGGTCTAAAGTGGTACTGAAAAGCGAACTCTATTGTGATAAATTCAAGTTTTAGACATTTACAGCATCAAAGGTGGAGGAAGCTATTCTAATCCAATTCACTTCTTTTTGTCAAATTCACCGAATATCTCCTCAGGGTCCGCTAGCCATCCGTTCTGTGTTTGCGCTGAAAAAATAAATCTGGTGTTTGTACACAGCCCTGGCTCTGTTAATGTGAAACAAAGTGGCCTGCACCCCAACCCACAACACTATTCCAGCCGTTCCAGCCATGATTTGTGTGTCAGGTAATGTTAAATGAGTTGCCAACAGACATTCAGCTTACTTTCAAGTTTTCCAAGACATGCTGCTGTTGTGATGTAAGCTATAGTAGCAGGAGAGTGCTCTTTGGAGCTGCTGTGCTGGCTCTAGGACCATCTTGTCCGCTCTGCAGCTTCGCAGCAGCAACTGTAGTGAGTTTGCTAACCTACAACTTAGCCAACATTACTTAATGTGTCGTTGTTTGCTCTATATTAAGGTCATTTTGTCATGTTGTTGGATTTCTCCAGAATTGCTTACTCCACCTTTAATTTTACTGTTTGTGATTTAGTCATTTTGAGTTATGGATAGCCTGAAATTTCAATTAATTCTTGCTTGGAATTAATGTTGACTAACAATGTTTTTTAATTTTTATTTAAATAAATTCTTTTCAAATCAAATTATTAAATTGTGCTTGCCGGGAGGTTTGGGACAATATAGTGCTACAGAAAAGACAAACTGTGTGAGCAGGTGGGTGTGTAATGAATAAACAAGTGCTCTTGCAGGCCTTTACAGCAGCTCACTGCTTACCCGTGCTGAGAAGCAGAAGGACCTTCATGGAGAGGAACTCGTCATAGGTTAGCTGCAGTCGTACAAACTCCTGGCTCACCTGCCTCATGCCCATACACAGGTCGTACATGGCTGACTGCTGCATGCGGTCCCTTAAGAAAGAAAAGAGAGGAACGAAGGAGGGGAACATGACAACAAAAACAGTTTAAGCTTGACAAAAAGTAGTACTTCTTTCAGAACTCCTGTATTGTATTAGTTGCAATCCATCCTCAGTACTCACTTATCCATATTCTCATCTTTTTATTTGTGTACCCACTCATTCTGATTTTATATCACAACTGACTCACTCATTCACATCTTAACTCCATTCCTACCACACTAGTTCAGGCCAGTGAAACAATATTTCCACACAGTGCAGAGGAGGATCCTGCTAGTCTGGGCTAAGAGCAGAATACCAAATCCCCCCCAGATTGCAGAGCGCTGCATACAGTATCACAGCACAGATGCACCACTTTCCTAAGGCTGTGGCATCCTACGAAAGACCCCATATCTAACCCCAATATCCATACAAACATTCTTAGGAAGGATGTCTAATTTCAGAAATGATATGCACATGAACATATGTGAACTACACAGATATGGTCATGTTCACTAAACTAGTTTATCAACGTGCTGAAAATATATCAAGTGTACACGCCAGTTGTGCTCGTTTTCTGTGCGTGACACTTTCTCACTCCCCTTCTCTTTCACACACTATTTATCAGCAAAATGATCTTGGTTACGTCACAGAGTTCACAAAAACAGGAAAGAAACATTAGAAGGGATAAAGCATGAGCCAATCAGAAATGTGCTCTGCAGATGCCACAGATTCAGGGGAATCTCTAGCTTTAGATGCCACTTTTCTTTGCTATAAATCACCATCATATCGAGAACACAGTAATTAAATGCAAGTGGTGTGGCTTGACTTGAAAGAGGTCAGAGTTTTACCCACAATACAGTGAAACCACATCATAAGCACAGGCAGAGTGGGTGGAGTCTTCACTCTGATAACAACTAGAGTAAACATTTTGTAAAAGGGGCCAGAAGCAGCCCGATTGGAAACGAGTGCATAATGTTGCTATTAAAGCATAAAACAGCATATTATATTACAGTATTAACGGTACAGCTGTGTCTGTTGGCCCGACTAAATAACTGATAAACTGTGACAATATCTGGGTGAGGAGCAGACCTGTTTCCCTGCTGAGCAGCACTGTGTATGTGAGCAGTTTCGCAAAGTGCAGCATAACATCATTTGATACAACTTTGGGCTGGAGTTTGTAAAGTCTCCACACGTCTCTCTCTCTCTCTCTCTCTCTCTCTCTCTCTCTCTCTCTCTCTCTCTCTCTCTCCTTCTCTCTCCTTCTCTCTTACTGAAATCAATTTTGCTGAATCACTGCCCAAAATGAGCTGCTGGTTTTGGGGAGGAAACAAAAATACTGGCAGCAATGTCTCTCCATCCCTCTTTCTTTCTCATCTCGGTCTTGCTCTCACTTGGTTTCTTTTTCTGTCTTTCCCTCTCAGTCTTGAACTCACTCTCTTTTCTCTGTTTCTATGGTAAAAGATTCAGGAAGGAGCACAGAACTGAGGAGAAAGGAAACTTCAGGTTCACCTTTGGTTAGCTGGAGGAAGCCAACAAATTTTAGTTTGTTCAGAAAAGTATGTCCAAGCAAATCCCCTGAAGTTCAACTGAAGTCACAATTAGTCATTCCCTTTTATAGTCATGTATGGTGTCAAAATAATTCCTAAATGTATTGCTACGTGTTTTAACAGTGAAAAGGGGCTTTGAAGATACAGTACATCAGAAATGCCCCTTTAGCCTTTAAGCCTCTGTGTGGGTGGGCCAGTGTGTTTTTTTGATTGACCACTGAAGTGGCAGGGAACAGTGACCCAATGTAAACCATCCTACACCGGAGACTGCAGTTTACAAGCCAAAGTCAGTGTTTTGTAAAAAAACAAAACAAAAAAACAAAACAAACAACAAAAAACAGTAGTAGTGACGAATAAAGACCACACCACATAGAACCTGAACTGACATTTGCAGGTAAAACTTACAGTAAGATCCTCAACATGCTACAGCTAGATAGCTAATTGGCTTTATAACCTGCAAACTGACATTAGAAGTGCACTTTTCACTGGTGGTTGCTGTCTGTGTCTCTAACAGCCAATGATAGAGCAGTTTCATACTATACTACATACTCTAAAACAGTATTCTCACTGATATAGACACAGGCAGGGGTTTGCTCTCTTGAAACCAACAAATATGATTTTATACCTACTTGTACATACTGTCATTGTTTTAGGAGCATTGTTGGAGTAATTGTTGTGTTTCATTTCTTTATACATAGTAGATACATACATTAATTGAATCATGAGTTAGTGCCCACAACTTGTAGGGAAATAGTTTTGTTTATCTGTTTTAAGGCATTTACCACACATCAAACACTAAATTACATAGACTATGCAGGGTAACTTTGTCTTCGATGTAAAATGAACATTTGCAGCATTTACTCTCAGTGACAGATTCCACTCTAATAGCTGAGTGAGCGGACAGTCTATTCAATAAATGCCTTAATGCCCTGGGTCAATAAGCACTAAGTAGCTATGGAAACAAGTGTGCAATGTCCAACCCCCTAAAGACAGAGTGGACTCAAAGTTATGGAACAACTGTGTCCTCATTTTTGACGAAATTATCAATGAACTAAACAGACAGACTACAGTACGTTAACAACAACAAGCAAGCAACACACCTTGACCTGATAACAGGCCCGAAAAGACACAGTGGGGATGGGAGTGTCATCAAGGCTGCCCTGACAACAAGCATGTGACCCAAATCCAGGCCACCGCCATCTCCAGACGGTCTACATCTCATCTTCTCTGTCAAGCTGAGTACCAGGCCCATCTGTCAATCGGACAGGCCCGCTGTAAATTCATCACATGCAGCGGCATACTGTACAGTAAATAATTCATTTATTACATATAAGCATGTGCAATTCCAATATTTTTCTCTGTTAGAACTTATTCCGAACTGAACTCGCCAAAAGACACAAACCATTAAGTCTCTATCACAAAATTAGATCTTCTCCAAAAGCTGTTGTCATCTCACAGAAGGAAACACATAATTCTTAATAAACTGTGATCCACTTGGCACTAAATTGATTAGAGGATCAGAGGATCTCTGATGTGGCAAACTAATGCTTTACCAACTGTACTAAGCTCACAGTGATACAATACAGGCTCACAGAGTCTGAGGCTGTGTTGCACAATGGCATTTGCGCTGCTGTTTATTTATTTATTTATTTATTTAGGACAAACTGACCCACTGACATTGACTTACACAAGCTATTAGTTGGAGCTTTTAAACCTGCCCTTGATTGAACCTGCTCCTCTACAGCAGGCTGCCTACAGAGGTTGCTATTCTCATTTTTGGTTAATTCATCATCAGCCACGTACCAAAGCTTCAATGTGAAAAGGCCCACATACACTTCCCTTCTACTTGCTCTCCTGTTCAAACATATTAACACACATCAAGTGGGCCACTGACTGCCCTTGCTAGGCTTTGATCATCTGCGCCTGACGCAATTAAGGAACCATCAAAAAGTACAGAAGTGCTTCCTTGTGAAGTGCCAGAAATCAGGTGCAGCATTATGACCTTATGACCAGTATACTTTAATGACATCAGCGCAATGTGTGCAGTGTACTGCAGATATGGAAGTGTGGACCTACTCGTTAAAGATGAGGTCAGGGGCAAAGTAGAGCATCTGTCCATTGGTGTGTTTGTAGGAGCGCCAGCTGAGGCAAAACGAGGACAGACACATCCATGAGTACTGGATCAGGGTGATTTGGTCCTCAATGGGCAGGCCCCGAAAACCTAACACACACAAAAACACACACATTGCAGAAAAAGACGAAGCTAATGAGAAGAAAGCACTATGTTTGAATGTAGCTGTCAATATTCAGGCATGGGTATAATGCATTTGGACTTACCAAACTTAAAAGGCAGTTATTTAGCCGAGTACTCACATGTGTGCCTGTGTGTTTGGTCATGTGCATTACGTACTGTGTATCTTCGCTCCAGTGTGCTTTTTTGTGCCAATATTTGTTTAGACACGATAACCACTAAGTATTCACCCATTCTTGTTTTATACAAATCCCACAAGGCCTCCAGTTATTGGCATGTTGTCTGTGGAGCTCCAAAAATAGAGTCGAATAGGACACTTGCCAAACTCTCAATCAAACTCTGGCAAGACACTCCTCATGCAAAACATATGCCAACTGAGGACACACAAGTGACTTATCAAGACTTGTGGACTATTTTAGTCAATATGCATGTCAAATTGGAAAATACAATAATATATTTTTTTGTAGGTGTGTCAAATGCCTGGCATTACACTGTGTATTCAGTTACTAAAATAAAGAGCACACGGCTGGCTGATATTTAAAATTCTTAGTCGAGTTTGATGTCTGTAATTTCTTAAGGTAACTTTAAAGGCAACTAGACATCAGAAAAGTATTTGCTAATAATGTAGCTCCCATTGACAAACACGTCTGACTTTCCTGCGTACATATTGTTGGTACTGACAATACTGTTCCATGTTGCCCTGTGTGTTAGTCCTGCCACATCCAAATGTAAGCTGAATGCAGGCGGCGGCATATCTGAAAGTCGAAGGTACTCGTTTTGACCCTTCTGTCTGGCTCCCCTTCTATTTATACGTCCGGATATGGCAAGCAGACACCGTGGAGGTATCAAATATTTGCAATACAGCAAATTAAACAGCCTCAAAGAGCTACCTGTGAGGCATCTTTTAATATGTCTCCCACTGACTGGCATTTTAGGGAAACTTGTTTATTCCTTTTCAAAAAAAATTGTTCTTCCTGTGCTGTGGTTTATAGGAAAACATCAATGAGATAGACATTAGATCTTCTGTTCAACATAACGTCTGACAACAACGATGTAAATGAGTTCTGTTTGAAAATCTTAATCTTGATTCTATTTAATGGTAAAATAGGATTCCCTTCCTAATCTTGTTGAAGCTTCACAGGATAATTTCCTGACCTAATATTTTACATCAAAATTGTGTGCCTAAGTGTTGAAGTGGTGCATTCTCAACATGTAGAGATCAAAAGTGAAGATGTAGGAATGTTATCTTCATTACAACCCCAGTCCATAATTACAGCATAGACTTGCCCTGATTTATTAGACTGATATTTTTACCACTTTTCATTTTCTTTTGACTTGTCCATGAATAAAACTGACTACAATGTTTATTAATACTTTCATTATAACATTATACATGTAAAAATAACTGAAATGTACATGGTCAAAGACATTCTATTGTACTGAAAATATACAATTTATTGGTTTACAAGCTACTTTAATCTAATGAATTTACTGTAGCCCTTTTTATTGACCTTTAAAAGCAAGGGGGAAAATAACTCACTAGTAGTACAATCTAAAATACTGCAACCATCTTCATTAAATGTAAGCTCTACAACTGTGATTTACACACTTTATTATCTTTACACATATCTTTGAGGTCGATTGTTTAAACTCCTTTCCAATTCTGGGTTTAAAACTGTGTTAAACAGCATTAAGGCCTCAGCCCACGGCTCTAGTGGTCACTAACCTGGAAGTACTTTGGCCCACTTCACCATGCGTACCATCTGCTTTCCGGCCAGGCGGTTGAGACTTGACAGCAAGTGGTCAGTGGTGTCAGGCTGCGTGTTGTCATAGCCAGAGTACACCTCTTCGGGCTCAATCAGCTCCAACACACTGCAGATGGAGGGCGGCAGAAAAGGTGTGACCACCCCAGGTCCGTGGGGCACCAGGGCATTGGCAGCACTGGCGTTCAACTCCTTCTCTGAGGACAGGTAACCGCCTCCAACGACACCTGTGGCAGTCTGGCCATCCTTAGAGCCCTGCAGGTCCTCGCTGACTCCCTTCAGCTTCCCTAACTTCTTGGACTTTCGTGCTGTATGGGAATAATTTAAAAAACCCAAACATAGATTTATAATACATACGTATCTTGGGCGCTGTGTTAACATTGTCTACTGTTAAATGTTTCATTTTAAACCAATGTAGTTTTTATTTGTCATTTCAAAGTTAAAGGCATGCTGATCAAAGTTCCACTGTACAATCTTTTTATCCGAAGGAAGTTATAGCTTCTTGAAAGTGTCTTAATTTTAGGGTGTGAATCACAAATTGGAAAGTGTCCATCTGGAATAAAGTCCAGTAAAACCAAAAGCACACAATAATACAATAATCAGGTTTCATTTCCTGTGTATAGTTTAGTAATTCACAGATGGTGATCTTTCAGGGATGATACACAAGCCAATAAATACATACATGCTAATACAGTATACACTGAAGTGAAGCCTCTCAGCTTGTTTAGGCTATCAACTTGAGGTCTGCTGCAACACTCACATTTTACACATTGTAACACATACAGGCCGCTGTGCTGAGTCTTTTTAACCTAAATGATCTATCGAGTATTTAGCTCTGCTATTGCTATTTAAGTTTTTTTTCTTTACTGTTGTCCATAAACTATTTAAAAAGATGGAAGTGTCCTTTCACGCTATCTTGTCTGTGTTTTGGGACAGAGGCCTAAGGATTTCTCCCTGCTGGGATTTGGGGAATTACTGCTTAACTCCACCACAGTAATACTGCTGCTTGCTAGCTAACATGCTAAAGAGGTTTCAGTAAGCTATGCAAATAATGTTACTGTTAGTGGCTGTTGTGTGTTCCAGCTTTGTTGCAGTTCTTGTTAACAGTCCAGGCTTGACATAGTTTTACAGCTCATGGCATCTGTTGGCTGCAAAGTCTTTGCTCCTGTCAGGCTGTTATTGGTATTTGCCTTGGTATTGGCTAACTACGATCCATCTAGTGTCTAAATGAGCTCATTTTTGTTTGAAATGATGCTAATCTCATGATTTCCACAGTGGTGAGACTGATGTTTTTGTACTTAGCTATAGGCTTAATTGGTTTGACTGTTGTCCTTTACAGACAACAGTCCTTAATATTGGCTTCAAGGCAAACTTAGTCACACTCACTTTTCTCCACATATTTGATATTTAGCTAAGCATTACAGAAATATTTTGTTCTTTAGCTTTTTTACTTGTCTTCATATCAAAATTAGATCCAAACAGCTGAGCTGCCACACTCATTGCCAACCTTAAGCTTTTATTCATGACTCATGGTCATCTGCTGCTTTTCAACACTACATGACATTTCACTAGAAGGAGACATGTTTACTCCAAGTCATGATTTGTGCGTGGAATATGCTTAAATTAATAATTATTTGCTGCTAAACTGACGTGTATGTATGTGATTGACACTTGGTGGATTGTTTTTAAAATTATCCATTTTAATGCAGCAGAACTAAACCTCCTAGTTGTTGGAGCTGCTTTCTCAGAGGGTGACGATAGAGCACAGGTATCACTAATCAGATTCCACGTATAGCCAACATCAGGTTCAGTATCTAATGTGGTTTTCAAAGTTTTTTGCCATGGCTCTCCAGTCTCTTCTGTGGTAGGTTTAGTGTATGTTTTAAGGGAGTGATAGTATTATACATGAGTGATTTAGTGACAATGGTCATGCTCTGCTCTGCCATGCTATGCAGCTGCACATCTCCTTTAACTCCTCCTCGACATGTATACTGTTCCAAACACCACCTCAGTACTGCAGTTGCTCATAAAGCATTTCATAAGACCCACCTTTATCTCAGCATCCACCTGTAGACTCTTATTCCCCTGAGTGAGTGAGTGAGTTTATTACTGTCACTCCACAATCATCTCTGTGTATGCTCTTGGAGAGTGATGTCAAAGCAAAGAAAAATGGACTATGTTAAAGCTGAATCAGTGCCCATTTATTTATTTTATATTGTTCTATCAGAGGTTTGGTTTGGATCCAAGATAAAAAAAAAATGAGTCATGTGTTTGTTGTAACATTCAAAGGCCTAGGCCTAGTGAAGAAAATGTAAACAAGAGAATCCTCACAACTAACATTTTTAGTAGTTAGTCATTTTTACTCTCATTGTGAGCACTTCATTTTAAGTGGCTATCCTCCTGGTATAATTTATGTGATTGTCCCTCCAAATAAAACACATTTCATACTGCACTGATAATAGCCGTGTTTGGAACATTTTTATATAGCATCATGAATTGTATGTACACCTGGATTTTTCTTATATATTAACTGAGCTTAACAACAAGTGTTTAAATAGTTTTCTGTTTAATAAAGCTCATCCCTTTATCAGAAAAAAAGTATTATGAAGAAAGATATTCCTGCAGCCATTCACGAAACCATCGCTAAGTTCACCAAGGACTACAGCCACAGAGAGCTTGAGCTAGTTTGGAAGCTGTTGCTATCGTGGGCCTGTAAAGTCCATTTAAATCTCTAATACAATTTAAATTGATTTGACATGACATAAAACAGTTGCCTATATACTGTACTGTACTTTAAATAAGTCACAGAATCTGTCCAAAGTGCTAAGATATGGATTAAAATATTAAATATTCACTGCTTTTACACTATCATGTCATTAAATATCTGACTAGATAAAATCTCTAAAATGTTTTAGACAAATTAAACATGTCTGTTGTAGTATCATATACGACAGGGTAAGATAAAAATAACAGGTATGAAAATTAGGTGATGATCATTAAGAAATAGCCATTTCTGCAAATGGTTAATTTTGACAGCAAGTCAATGAATCTTGCTTAGAAATAACTGATTCTGAAATATCCATGTTGCTTTTTTTTAGGCATTGATTAACTCCCCACTGCTATAGATACATATCATTCCAATTTGCAAACATTTCACTTTGGATTCATTTAGAAGACTCACAAATAATTAATTAAAAGGCATGAAGCAAAACTCAGGGTACTTTCTGTAACAGCAGTACTTGCATGTGTGCATGTTTTCCCCCTTTGGCCACTGTTACTTTCCCAAGTAATTGACAGCACTACCAAAACCCTACGCAGGGTTTTCCTATACAGTACATTTACATTCATGGTTAAATCCAGCATCCCTGGGGAGCATGAAATTAAAAACCATTTTGTAATTTCAATATCTCTAATGGACTGAAAACCTATCAAGTATGCTTTTAGCCTTTTGTATACCACTGCGACCCTGAATTGGAATAAGCCAGTGGCAATAAATGAATACATTTCATCAACCACATGCCTCCCAGCTACAGTGTCGTCTTTCCTCATAATGTAATACTGTAACTTGTCTGCAGGCTTTGTCAGCTGGCATCGGATAGAGTACTGAAGATCTACAAATTCGGTAGATGCATTATGCATACTGTGCTTAGATATACTATGTGCACACATATACACATCCTTGGGTCTCGTGTGACACCAGCCAGAACCTACTTTTCCATATCTGTAATTTCTTGCAAGCAGAGCAAGGCTGACTCAAATGTCACATCCAAGACACGTGACAAGGCAAAATGTGTAATGAGGGTGTGACTCCTCACCTCCTAGGTTCATCCCGGCCTGGAGACACTTCCGTACGCGACATGCCGGACAGTTTTTCCTTCGGATTTTGTCAATGATACAGTCATTTCTCCCGGCACACAGGTAGTTGTGCTGACCTACAGAAAGACAAGACAGCGTCAGTAAGATGGTGAACCGTACATACAGCTTGACATAAAACACCAGTGATAAGTGATGTTCAGCAAAGAGATTTTTTTTTTTTTAAAGAACAATAAAAGAGGTTAACTTATGCAATACTGAATAATAGATGTATACATTTGATTACATGAAGAGAAGTAAATATTTGATTCTACTGTAGAATCTCTGTCGGTGACTGTAATGTAGGTCAACACAGAAACCCGTGAAATGTCTGGCAATATCTGAGATCTACATTTCATGATTATCACTGTGAAAATGATTGAAATTGTGATTATTCCACTTTCACATTCCACAAAGCATGACTAATGGTCTATTTTACAGTATATGGCATGAGGGTATTAACATTAACTGGAACCAGGACACTGGCTGCAGCTAGACTATTCCTGACAGTGATGCTAACATGGCGAGAATCCCTCCTGCCTCCTGCCTAGCCCTTAGCTAAACCCAATGATCTCCCATTTCAGAGCGCTTCCTTCCGCTCCACTACTTCTTCACTGTACAGCTCCTCTCCTCCTCCACTCTTCTCCTTCTCTACGCCTGCGTCGCCATCCCTCTTTTTTTTCCCTTTTTCCACACGTCCGCCAGCCTCAGAGCGCCATACGCCCACACACAGGCAGGCTGATGCTCGTGCACATGTACAGTCATTCACTCTCTCACTCCCATACATACATACACACACACACACACGCACACACATGCATGCACATACACACAGCCAAAGCTGCTCCACTTGGCAATAAAAAAACCCAACTGCAAATGTTGTATCTGCTTTCACAAACAAATACACACACGGAAATCACGACACAAACCAGATGGAGTGGTATAGTGTGGTGTATTGACACCAGTGACCCTAGTACATGACTTCTCTCTGTTGATGTTAAAATTGAGTATACATCTCAGATGGTGTATATGGTTTTATGCGTGCACATGTTTGCATGTCAGTGCATATCAGTCTGTGTTTTTCTGCATGTTTATTTTATATCGTTTATTTCTCTAAGAAGTATCTTAGAGATTTCTGGGATAAATGTTGTAGCATGGAAGCTTGTGCGTTGTTTACATGCAGTTAGCTCAAACATGTACATTCTGTGCATTGCCTTTGTTGCATCTACAGTACAGGATTTGTATTTGTGTGTAGGACTGAGCAGAAGTTGTTTTCTGAGCTAGCAGGAGTAGTGCGCAGTGTGTCTGTCTGGCTGCTGCCAAAAGCCAAGGAACCGAGCTGCAGGAGGAGAGGCAGCAGCTGTAGCCCCACCACTATTTCTGGCTAAATCACATGATCGTTACATAAGCCCATTTTTCTTGCTCTAAAAAACAGTAAACTGCGACACAGGAAACACAACGCAGCCATCCCCTTCCCCAACCCCCTCGTGCGTGCACACACACACACACACGTGCATATACGCACACACTCGCTTGGATAGGCCGGACCAAATGGCAATTCTGAAAACTCTGGAGCCTTCCTGTCAACTGTTTTGCTCATTCCCGTGAATCTTGTTAATAATTGTTAGAGTGAAATACACTTTATGAGACAGGCGAAGTCGTAGTCCAATGGTGTGTGTATGCGCGCGACTGTGTGCGTGTGTATCTGAAAGGGAGAGAAGTTGTTTATTTATGCACTGTGTGTGCATACACTCACATGCCCTCGCACAGCATGTTTACCTCTGAATATGTGCATTTGCTTATCAACCTGGCACGTGGCGGGCTTACTGATGAGTGACACTTTTTCGGTCTTACCTTGGAAAATTGTAGGGGGAAAAGTCCTTTCATCTCTTATGAGACTGGTTAAATTATGAACTCACTTAGACTCTTGTTTCCATGTGAATCTTACCCAAAAATCTATTACTCATGAATAATGCCAAATCCTATCAAGATATTTTCATATAATAATCCATGAAAAAGATAAAGATTCTTTGGATAGTATTAAATTTGACATAATTCTAAAAAATCCTGTCTGCTGGTACAATGCACACTCTGTCAGCATTGTTCATTTAATGGCAACCCTCAGAGTTCTTTAATGGAGTCCACTCACGTCTACTTTTAGCTAATGATCTCACAATCTGGCAACAACCCGCTGAGTAGTCTCTGTTGTCTGTCAACTCTAGCATACATCAGTTATGAGGATATTCCTCTGAAAGGGAAATACTCTTTCCTAAGGGGACCCCACTTTAAAAAAAGTAATCTGCCCTGCAATCCTCTTGCTACCAGCGCAGCTACAATACATCTGCTTTCCAAACAAAAGACAGACAGACTTTAAGCCTTTATACGACTTTTAATGCATAATTTTTAAATAGTTTCTAGACACAAGTGTGTTGTGAAAATAGCCTCTCAGACACAGTAGCTGACCCACATCAATAATACTACATTAACTTGAACGGTATTTAGCAGTGGCTGCAGATTTCTTAGTTGCAAGCCGTTACTGCAGACTCAAGATGGGATATAAATGATGTGCTGAAATCTATGTCAGACTCATAAATTAATGCCATTTAATTACCCACTCACAGTGCATTTGGTCAGTTCTGTGATCGTCATTGATCTGTATTTATGCATCCCAAATTACATAGCCAAAAAAATCCCAAACAACCAAAAAACAGGCTTCTCAGAGATGTAATTGTTGTTACCACTGGGCCAGTGGTATGCAAATCACTGCCTTGCAATAGCACTGCTACTCCAGTTCTTTGGACAACACACAAACAGCTGTGTTGGATGGGACTGTACACAATCGAGTTTTCCTCTCTGGATCATTATAAAAAGAGGGTGCAGAAGTTAAAATAGGAGAAAATAGAAGCTGTTATTTTTTTTTACTAATGTTACCACTTCTATAATAATCTAAATAATGTGCTATATATCAGTTTCCCTATGCATTTCTTTCTCACAAAAATGTTCCCCACCTGCTGCCTTTGTAGGCCATGGTATTTGGACGAATCAAATGTACAAAAACAGCCAGTTATGGCAGTGTTTATGATAAAAGCAGTTAGAATCCAATACTCTCTTTCATCTTAATGCTTTATAACTTTATTCCCAGTAGTAGTACTGTAAAAATTGTTTGTCAAGATATTCATTCTTATTGGTATAAATTAAAAACATATGTATGGTCTTACAACTAGGAGGTTACACCTAGGAACACATTTGACTTTATTCCAAATCAAATAAATTAGGGCCATGGATGATATGGTATTTTAAGACCGCTACTGATTTTGACATTTGAGGATTCTAAAATCCAATATTCCAATATATAGTCGGATATTCTTTTTTTTTTTTTCTTCTTTTCACATACATAAACAAAGGTTATTCCTAACACTAGTTATGTGTAGTTATGAGACGTCACCAAGATAACCTGATATAATACAAAAAAAATATATATTTTTTTGCTATAAATAATACTTGGAACAAAAGTACAGCTGATTGCTGAGTTTTATGAGGGATTTGTGGCTTTCAGGGGAGTTGCAGAGAGCCCTCTGGTGGACAAATTATGCAATGACAACACTCATAACCTTATAGAAGGATCCGTCTCTCCGTTTCTTTTTTAATTGTCACTTATCAGCTGTTACAAACATCGATACAGAAATTTATGCAATTAGCTCATATCGACTGATAATATCAGCACACTCATTTATCACCCGGGCTCTAATAAAAATAAAAGAAGGTTGTTAACCGTTCTCAAACTATAGAGTTACAAGACCTTGGAAAGACCTTGGAAAAGCCACTACTGGCATCAAAAAGTACTGTCATAACACTCTGTAGTACTGTATCTTTAACAAACCAATCATCAGTGAAGCTACTGATAAAGCCCATCAGATTGGAACTTATTTGTTTGAACACAAATGGTGTTAACCACTAACTGTGCTGGATCCTTTTTGCATTTATGTCAAAGAACAAAGGCATCACCAGGGAGCAGGAAGAGATGGAGGTCAGATAATATCCACTGGAGGGCCATCAGGCCTGCAGGTCAGCCCAGGCCAGGGGAACTGAGGCCATAGAGGAAGTAGTGTGTGCATATATGAGTGAGTTATGTCATCATACATGCACCAAACAGCATACTTGTTACTGTAGTAAGAGGCTTCATAGGTAGTCAGAATGCTGTATATTTTAGTGCTGAAATGATTAGTTAATTAATAGATAATTTATTAGACAAAGAAAAACACATTTCTCAAGCATAAATGCCAAAAGTTTGTTGGTTCCAGCTTCTCACATGTGAGGATTTCTCGGTTTTACATCACTGTATTTGAATACATTGGAATTACAATGATTTAGCTTCAGAGAAAGTGTGAGGGACATTTTTATTTTCTATTTTCTAATATTTTACAGGCTAAACAATTAATGAATTAACTGAAAAAACAACTGGCAGATGTGTTTTATAAAAAAAAAAAAAACATTATTATATTGTAATATAATATATTGTATGAGCTTGTATGAGTCTATTTTTAAAGCAGTAAGGATGTAAAATGCACACACAGATGTATCTAGGTTGCATTAGAGAGACCCTTCCTCAGGCTGCATTCTATAACCTAAATGCCTATTAGCAATGTGGGTCACACACATACTTACAGTAAGCTTTACAGATTAAATTTCTACCTAATGCTGTACACCTGAATTCCTTTACTACTTATGAAGAAGTATGCACCCATGCATTTGTGCATGCTAAGTTTTTGCCTGTGATTGCATTTGTATATATGTTGTATGCAGTTTCTGATCAAAGACGTTCTGATGTGAACATGTGTTGGGGAGCTGGGATCAGGGTGACACTGCTAAATGGCTTCACTCCAACCGTTGTTACATGAGCCTCTCAGACACAACCTGAAGCTTTCACTCCAGCACTGGAGGGAGTCCTTTATTCCCCCAGCCTGAGCTGAAAAACTATGCGATTGGACAGCAGGGCTGCCAATCAAAGCAGAAACAGTGCAAGACGTGTCCTCAGATGACCTCTCCCACAGAGGTGGTACCGAAGAATAGGTTTGTAGATTGACAGCAGCGCCATGGAAACCTCGACCCAGTCACATTGCAGAGTGAGGCCATAATAAGGTTGACTAATGTCTCTGTAAACCTCTCAGTTCAGTAAGAGAACAGCAAAAACAGCAAGTGAGCTAAAAGCAGGGCCTAGTCTTACTACAAAGAGCAGACATGCCAAGCCACTGATGACATGTGAATAATAAGATGGCGTTCAACTCTTCAAATGCTCTCCACATGGAGTCGTTTATTGAGTGCAGCTGCCTTGTATCAACAAACTGGTCTTTAGTGGATGTGGATGCAGGAGAGAAGCACACATGAATGCATTCAGCTATTTCCACATTTCATTAGTGATTATAACACATGTTTACAAACTGTTGTTTTGTGTCAGAAGGCATTTTCCCACAGCGCAGGATAAACATTTATACTGAAGAATTCATTCATTTCAATAGAGCCTATAAATTGGCTACATGTTTGCATGTGACAGTTGAGTCAACAGTAGCAATGCAACTGCAAAAACTTTTAAGCATCATAAAAGTTATTATCCCTTTGTTTGTCTAAAATGTTAAACTAAATAAAATGTGTGGGTTTAAGAGTTGCCATACTTTAATAAGATAAACTGGATGCCTTGTGGTGAATAGGAGAGATGGTGGATGAATGTTTCTTTTATGAAATAAGTATATGTGCATGTCAACGCTTAAAGAATAAATTGAGGGCATTTTGAAAAGCTCACAGCCAGAGAGTAGGCAGCACATAATTTAGTGTGCTGCCTTTCCTGGGACCATGGTTATAAACTTCATCTTGTAAAGTTGGCTGTGCCTTGTGGTAAATATGACAAAAATTAAGTGGAATGAATATTCGTCCTCTTGAGGCGAACTTTAAGTGCACAGATTTGGACAGTAAAAGGCCCATGTGGCCAAACAGATGGTGTAAATGTACACCTAAAATGTAGACTTCAAAGAATAACTGTGCCAAGCTCCGGTGATGTAAAATAAAGCTACCTAACAATGATTTGTCTGGCTTGCATAAAGGGGAAACCAGACCCACCACAGTAAGAGGATTTCATCTGATTTGTTGATGACTCCAGAATGCTAACTAGCTCTGTAGTAAAGAGCTGTGAGCCAGTTAGCCGTCTAATGAGCTACAGCCGACCAAAAAGTTGTGTCTCCCGAGGCAGGCAGTGCCAAAGGAAATTAAGCACGGGCTGGATTATTCCCCTTGCACAGATGCCCACTCTCCGCTGTCTTCTTTTATATCTCAAATGCCGAGTCTAAGTTTTTATCTTTGAGAGAAAAGAGGAGGAGAAGGAGGAGGAAATACTGGGAGGGGGGAGGAGTAAAACGTCGCCTCATGTCCTAACTTACACCTCTCCGGCACTCACTGCTGACACATCGCTTTCCATCCCTCTCCGTGTTTCTTACTCCCTCTCTCGGCTCCTCCTCTCTTTATCTCTCTCTGCATCTGACTTTTTCTTCCCCCCCCCCCCCCCGTCGCTGTATCTGTTTCACTGCCCTCTATCTCTCTTCACTTTGCAAAATCCTTCTCTCATTATTTTCATCCTGTGCCTCCATCCACCTTACCTCTCTCTTTCCACCTCAGCAGCAGCTGTGGTGGGGTCAAGTAAGGTAACAGTTCGCTTTGCACATGAGGGGCGTACACGTTGCATGCAACTTTGATGACATCACACCACTGTTTGGGTTGCCTTAATCACACTTTCATAGAAGATAGATTCATAGGACATTTAAGTAAAGTAAAGAGCACTGCAAATGATTTAAAAGGGCATCACACAATCATTGAGTCAATATCAGTATAATTATATATCATATGAGTAACATATAGAATTTTAGTAGTACAATCACAGAGCATATAAAGATCTGAGCTCCTCAGAGCCTCACCTGACTAGCACTCTCACATAAAGTCAGATCTTTAGCGTCTGCTTCCAGCTCTCCACTGGCCACGCTTGAAGCAAGAACAATGGCATGTCTAATTTGATAACCCCAGACACATAATCTGGTTTCCGGTCTCCGTAATGACGATGTGTAAATATCATCAAATTAAGGCATGATTTGATTGGGAATGAGTGCAATTCCTCCAATGGTCAGGAAAACACCTTGAGCCCCTGATGGCTGGCTGGCAGGCTTGTTTTTTGCTGCTTTTCGCCCCCGCCTGCACTGGGTGTGTACGCGTGTGTTTTGCATTCAAACACTCATCTTAATGAGTTAGGCCAATGCCTCGGGCAACAGGCACGAAATGAAAAGCACATTATGACTGCTGCTGATTTTCCCCAAGCTAAATATAACATAAAGGGCTGCTGCAGGAGAATTACCCACTGAATGTTTTTATTTTTCTAATGTGCCACTCAACTTGGACACAGTCTATATATGTAACGTACCAAATGTTTTTGGTCATTTTAATGATATTTTAGAAAAAATAAAAACATAGTAACAGTAGGCGATTTGTTCATTTTTAAACGGGGGATGGACCCTGTTACTTTTGTTCACCCGCGACCAGCAAACCAACTCATGAATGACTCTTTTGATCCAAGACGAAACTGACAGAATGACGGGACTCAGAGGAAAAAGTCGCAATTACAAATCTGTCTGCTACTTCAGCACCATGGACGGCACAAAGGATTTATCAATACACGGCACAGTTAGGCTACTGATATTTGAGAGCCGTGGTCGGGGCTATAGATACTAACTTGCACAAACTTCAGTCAGATGAAGGATCAATCAGTCAGGCAGACTAGACTAACATATTCAACTAAACAACGCCTCTGCCCCTGCACTCTCTCTGCTACTAGGGGATTGAGAAGAGGGAACTGCAAGTAAACAATGGGGGTGCATTTTGGTCATTTTGCCCCTCATCCCCCTTCAAATCGTTAGAAGGCCTACAGAGATTAAACAGTAGTTGTATTAAATAGTGTGGTGCAAATAAAACCAGCATCAACTATTGGTTAATAATTCTTGCAAAAATGATCAGCTTGCATTGCTTTTTGCCATGTCCTTGTCTGACTGTGCTATTGTTCTATCAGGGAACAAAAATGAAAATTACAGAAAGTTATCGTATTTGCACACATTTTCTCATTAACATTTGCTAGTTGGAAAAGTTGTAAGCTTTTACCTAAATTTAAACTTACTAGGATACTAGGTTACTCCCCACAAACCACTGTTAATATACTAAGCAGAATGTGTGCCAATCACTCTTAAGGCCACACGTATAAGGTGATATTGTTTGAAATATTTGATATTCAATGAATCAACCATAAAACCAATTTTGGCATGATGCAATATGAATGAAACTTCTCTCACAATTTTACAAGTATTAGTTTTAGGATAAGAGTTTAAAAAACGTATGCCACTATTCTCGAAAGAACAAAATAAGCGATGGGTTTTCTTTTTTTAAATGTTAAAAAAGGCTGATATCAGTGGGCAAGGGAGATCAATAACTGAAAAACTGTCAGATGGCAATCTTCAGGTTGTATTAAAGTACTAACTAATCTGTCATTTGATCATGACAATGACTCAAACAATAAACACAATTTGTCATTCCAAAAAATCACTGCTTGAGTGATTGTGATATAATTTTTTGGCCAGATTACCCATCCCTAGGTTTAGCAGCATTTCTAAATTACTCGTTTTGCCAAACCTAATGTCAATAATCTGCATTGTAAACATCATACAAGGGGATGCCATATCCCTCTACTTTGTCAGTAAATTTACTACTTTGAATTTACTATATACAAGGTGTCTATGAACTATAGTATTTCTATATAATATTAGAAAACTTTTTAACTCCCCCCATCTGATTCGACGCCAGCATACGCCAGGATAGTAATCAAATGTATGGGAAGGGGAGTGGATTTGGACACCACAACAAAAAGAACAGCTCTCACCAGGTATGACTTGCTTCCCTTCCCTTCATTCATACCAAAGAGCAACTGAAAACAATGGTGTCGCTCGCCAACATAACACCCCTTCCAACCAGTGATATCTTGTTTGAACATGAGTTAATGTCATACCTTCCACTGCTCTTTTGAAGAAGACTTTGCAGCTCCCACATGTCACGACACCATAGTGACATCCTGATGCCTCGTCTCCACAAACCAGGCACACTTTGGCCGTTGAGGACGGTTGCCTCAGTGGCGAGCTGAAAGGACACACACACACACACACACAAACAAGTTTTAAGTTCACAAGTTTTAAATCAACAAAGAATTTTCAAAAGTCAACAACAAATCCAGGGCAGACTGTACCCTTCCTAACAGTGCTACAGCCTGATACACATTGTGAAACAGTCTTGGGTTTTACGACCCACAGTACAGTAGCAGCACACTGTGGCTAGCCATAAAGATGTCTGTCATCCAAGAGAGGAGGGCTTTGCACTCAACAGATTTATAGATTCACCGGGATTACGGAGATGACAGTGACATAATTATAGAGATTATTTAAATTCAATAAACAAGAGAGGCACAGAGCAGGATGTCAAATTTAGTAGGATCCAAAACACTTGTCCGTCTCCAGCATAATCAGTGAGAGACACTGGAAAAAGTATTGAGTGATGGACATGACAGCGTGATAGAGCAAAATTGTTATTGTGTAAAAGTGTAAACTGTGTAACCAATTCAGGGTCAAAGGTTAAAGGTGAGAATCAGTGCTGACCTGTGCTGTACTGTAAGTAGCATGGCATGTTGTCATTATTTACTCTGAGCCACAACCAAAGACAGTCTGTTTCAGTTCTGCCTGATCCAAGGCATTGTTTACTTTTTCTTCATTTACTGCTTTGACTACTGACTGATTTCTATAATGACATGACCATTAAAGCGCAGGATGTACAGTATGTTTTTACTGATGTAGTGCTGAAAGGGAGAATTGGTTAAGAAGCGCTGTTTACCTATTCCAAATGAGATCAGTTCTCAGTTTATAGACATTTGTTCAAAACTCCAATGTGAGCAAATTGAGGTTGGTAAGACATTCACAATGTCACTGATTTGATCAATGCTGTTTATTGTCAATACAGATTAACAGAGCAACTGTCAGTATTGCAGCCCAGAAGATAAATTAGCAGGCCAATAGTTTCTGACGATATCGCTTCCTCGAGATCCAGTACGTTAGTATAGATTTACATGTTGACTAATAAGTAACATGGAATTGCAGTACTGAAATGCCAAAGATATTTTTGATGTCATTAAGAAACAGTAACCATTACATGCTTTGTTTTTTAACTACAAAATGCCCTGCCTGGTATATATCTTGGTTGTTGGTAGCTTGTTTTGATAACCAAATTTAAGGGTTTTAAACATCAGTGTTGGCTTCGATAATCCAGTATCAATTCAGTATAGTCGGTATACTGTATGTAGATTCAATGCTAAGCTATGTACTAAGCTTTATAAGCATCTATACCCAAATCATACCCAGTACCTTTCAGACCAAATCTATCTCTCAGAACAAGCTCTGTTAAATGGAGATTTAAGGCAAACGACAGAGGGAAGGTGACAGGTAGGCTGCCCAATAAAATCTGGTATGATACATGACGTGGTTAAATCAGAGCAAACATGCCCTATGGATGAGGCTCCATACACGCACATGGAGCTAAAGGGTGTGAGTGAAATTGGAATATGCACATTGCTCCTTATTTATCCAACTTGTCAGAGGAATAACATTGAATCAGTTGGCTCTCACAGAGAATAAAAAAATTAACATACATTTACTTTTTAGTAGAGTAGTGCATTCAAGGCTAGGTCTACATATATGCAAAAATGAGGATGATATATAGTATAATTTATTATAAAACATTCCCCTTTATGTGCACACACACACACACAAAGAACACAACATGTAGATGGGTACAAAGACAGAACACCTTGTATCAAAACATTAAAAGTGGCCTCAGCTTCCCCTTCTTTTCTGTGCTAATTACCTCTCTCCCATCTCAATCAATAACATGCAAGGTGATTGTCTGGTTAACATTCTCCTTACATCCTTCATCAAACCAGCTGCCAAGCACTCTCTCTCCACCTCTCTCCATCTCTCTAACGCCCTCCCTCTCTCATGCACACACATTTCCTCCAGGGGACTAGCTGGAAAGGGGTACAGCAACAGCACACTCAGATACAATCAGGACCACTGATCTAATTCCCTCATGTCCATCTACACACACATTCAATTTGTTAGGACGCTTAGAGGAGTCTCTGGTGAGGTGTTTGTCTGACTAGATCTTTTTGGCACTGGGCCCCATGGTTTCAGCTAATGTGAGTGTGAGTGTGTGTATGTGTGCATGCACAAATCTATTCCATGTCAAGAAGTGTTTTTCTTCTAATGTTAATCGACTGAATATTCCTCCATACATTGGCCTTTTTGCACTATTGCAAAGCAGTGTTAACAAGAAAAAAACCCCAACAAAGTTAACGGCCAAGAATCACACGCTGCATATGAGTATGCTTCAAAAATCCAGTCAGTGGTAAACCCTTTAATAGTGCCGCACATTAAAAACTTGTCGCTGCATGCCAGCCTGCCTGCCTGCTGGTCTACCAACAAGGTGACTTCCCCTCCCTCAGAGAAGTATATAGGTCATTCACTCTCTCTGCTTATGAAACCAGAGCAGACAGGCCAGGCTGCAATGACTGTGCACCAACGGCTGCCAGTAGCCCAGAACTAAACACAGCCTACCAGACATTCCCAAATCAGGCTGTTTTAGCAGACATGTTAGCCTATAGTTTGTCAGCGAGTGATGTGGGCATGAATAATAATGGAAATACAGCTTAATGAGCTTCAGAGTGTCACAGAATGATAAGCAAAAAAGGTCTCCAGTCAGAATCAAAATTGGGACATTGCGGCTAAATGGTGTAGATCTGTCATCACTAGGCCACGAGGACACAGCAAATGAATTTCCTCTTTGTATGGCTTGTCATTTTCATGGCTTAAAATATTCTGAGGTTGCAATTTCTGTCTATTTTAATGAAAGCTTAAATGTTGATGTACCACTGGAAGTAACATCTTGTTAAGGCCAGCAGTTCAAACTGTTAAGTCCCGCATGCAGAACCTTGTGTCACCTTTCATCTCATTGTGAAAACACAAAGCCAGAGTGCAGAGAAGGCACATTTGCAGAGATAATGTTAATTTAGTACAGATGTCCATTTTAGAAAACTGCAACGTACAGTATGCTGTACACACAAATAATCCTATATAATAACCATAACAATATCTCAATAATATATATCAATAATGTGTGTAGTTACCTAAAATGTTCTGCAGTTATGTGTAGGCTATGTCTGTGAACTGGGACTGGGACTTTTTTTTCTTGACCCCTGTCTTCCCTATTTCTGGGTACAGTCTCAGACTAACTCAATGGGACTGACTGCACAGATCAAAGGTCTCATTCTTCGCTCCAGTTGTTGCTTTTTTCCCTTCCTACAGAAACCCCAGGGCAGCGGTTTCATTGTTCTCTGTGTCCTTTCATCTTTAAAGATAACACACAAAGCTAACAACTGATTTAGTTGCTGTTTATTTCCCATGAGGATACAGATGAGTGCGAGTACACAATGCTTGTTTCTTCCCACCAAAATGTACAAGAAGAAATTTGGATCTCCAACTAACTCTAGCAGCCTCTTCACCGTTTCCCAGACGAACATTAGAGAAGATATTAATGAAACGACAAAGGAAATGAAATGTGAGAGCTTGAAACCAGACGAAGCTTATTGTGCCCACTAAAATGTTTGAGGACCAAACCACAGGACAGATGTTCAGGCTCAAATTGGCCTCATGCTTTTCTGCAAATAATTCAGATGTCACACTGGGAGCATTCTCCAAATGGTTCAAATATCTCCACCCTCTCTCAGCTGTGGAAGGAATGCTAAATCAGCGTGAGCTAAGACCAGACAGGATGATTTATTAAGATTTATTAGAATCCGGAAATATTGCACTTGATAATTAAGGAAGTCATTTGAAGCAGCTTTCCTGTTTTTTCAGTTCATAATCACCATTAAGCATAAACAGGTCAATATGGGTCACAAGAAATGGTCAGAAGTCATCCAAGCGTGGCATAACTAGAACAATTAGTTGCCACAGAAACAGAGCATGAAGTCGAAGAAAACTGACAAATTAGAGATACAGAGGAAGTCAAGGGGGCTGTAGTTATTCTGAGGTTATCAAGATAACATCATTATAGGTGAATAATGGGCTGTGAGTTGGCTGTATGATGGAGGACAACAGGTCCCACGTGGTAAGAATGAACCCTGTGACCCAAATAAGTCCATTAGCATGACAGAGTCAGTAAACAAGGGCCTGAACCACAGGGAGAGTTCTATTGTATAGAAATATAATGTCTTCGTCATGCATGTAACACTCTGCCACAAAACAATACACACTTGGAAACTGTATTTACACTGCAGTGGAGCCAACCGCCCACTGGAAAGATACATTTGTGTGCGCGTTTGAGTAGACACACTGACTCGTTCATTGTAGAGGCTGTTATCACAGGGATAGTTCAGACAAGTACCACAGCCTCCCTGAACCTGCCCCTCATGAAAGAGAAGCATCCTTGACTCTGCAAAAAAATAAAATATTTAATAAATGGTACAGTACCTCTCTACAGTCTGGCCTACAATATTTATGTAATGCACACCTTGGCATGCTGAAAAACCTTAAGCTAGACCAGTTCAAAGAATATTTATGTAACACACAACTTGGCACATTGGAAAGGTAGATTAGTTTAAACACACTGAGATGTAGAGAAAGAGAAAGAGGACAAAATCGCTTACATAACCATGAGCAGACAGTATAAACATTATGTTGACACCCACTCACCGCCTCTCAAAGGGAGAGAGGTCTTATGGGTAGTGTTAGAGAGCCACCAGGGATTTATTTTTCCTGGTGAAGGTGACCCTGGCATTGGGCAGAGTACCTGAGCATACAGAAATATGAGATTTCCTCTTTGTCAGGCTTGTGTTACACTTGTGTTAAGGTTACAGTATAATCTACTCTGACTGGCTGCCACTTACGGTTAAGAAAAAAAAATCGTAACCTTAAAATGTTGTGCATGAGAGTTTCATACATCCTAGTTAGGAGAAATTTTCTCTCTCAAATGTGCTTAGGTCTTTATTTTCAGGTAAAGTACAATGGATAAAGACTTAAAATACAGGGCAAATGAGG